TGGCTGAAAGAGTCAGCTGCCATTAGAAACGCATATTACTAGCCCTCACACTGTGCGAGCTTAATTAAATACATACGAGGCAATGAAGAATCATTACCATATCCTTGTATCCAATTTATTAAGGCACACACGAGTATGTAAACAGGCAACTGTAATCCAATTGGCTAGCGAAAGTCCAGAAATAAACTTGCGAAGCTTGACAGCGCCTGTCTCACACTCATACCCCTCCTCACGAAGTGAGTCTGTCCTCATTATCGCCTCCTCTCTCACAAAATCTCAGTTCTAAGTTGTTAGCGTATCTCCAGGTCCCTCACAGCTGTGCGCATCTGATATCATTATTTATAAAGCGCCAACAGATTCTGTAGCTATGTACAATGTGATATCAGTGGCCTGCTGCACACAGGTTGTGTGATGGATGGGCGATTGGGCTGTGTCTGAGTGTGTGTAATGTGATGTATGGACTGTGTATGAGTGTGTGTAATGTGATGTGTGGAATATTGGGCTGTATATGAGTGTGTCATGATCTTGTGCAGGTCAGGGATGAGACTGAAACTGAGTTTAACTTCAGGGTCTTTATTTGAGATCTTAGACATTATAGTATAAACAGGATATCCTATAATTGAAGTTATAGGAAAGAGAGATAGAAAACAGAACCAAGTAACTAAAATTACAGGGAAGTAACTAGTCTATGAAGTAAAGAGTTTAGACAATAAGCCCAAATTGGAAGTTAGGTAAACCTATAAATGAAGTTATTGGTAGGAGATTGGAGATAAACCTATAAGAGAGATTATAGATACAATATAGAGGGATAATAGGAAACAGGATTTAGGCAATATGCCCCAGAACTGGATATAAAGAAACAGGGAAACCTATAAGAGAGAGAGGTAAAGTGAGAGAGTGAAAACCTATTAATGAGATAATAAGTTACAGGAAAACAGAAATATAAAGATTATGTTATATAGGTTTGTAGTTGATCATGACATGCGCACAGTCGTTATTCAGCCTGTGGCATTTTTACCCCCAAAAAACACAGACACCGTATTTCTGTCGGAAATATAAAAGTCCACAGCTTTATTTTATTGTAATAAAAACAAGATAACAAATTGGGGTCATTGCCGCATATTTACTACCATCCCCTTCCGTACAGAATTACCCCTGGCAATGACACCATACCTTAAACAATATATAACAATATAAATAACACATAATATATAACACATGGCCTACCAAAGAGGCCCCATAACCATAACTTTCTTAACTGTAGGGGTGTACCAAGACACCCCTACACCACCAGGTTCGGAGCCACCGATGAGCTCGAACCAACAGACCACTTACCACTCTGGCCAGGGCTGGCCTTAGGTGTTCCAGCGCCCTGTGCGAGCTAATCTTGTGGCGCCCCCCCCCCCCCACCTAAACATACACAAAGAGGAAAACAGTCTTTGTAACAAACTGTTTTTTAATTACAGATAATTTAAGTGCAAACAAGTACAATAATAAATAACTGGATTGACTGGTAACAATAATGTATATTAAATACACAGAACTCTCCACGATACCGGCTATAGACCTATCAGGTCCACTCCGACACCCACCCCGCACAACATTACATGAGAACCCGGGGGACACTCTAGCTACCTGCTCCCCTCAGGGATCTACACGTGAACACAAATAGCCCTCATTACCTACCGATTAGCACTATTCCCCTATACCAAACACACAAAAGGGCGCAATATTCTTAAGCCACGTAATTGTATGTAACTGCCTCCGCTTAGACCGCACCAGCCGAAGTGGCGATGCTTAATATCGACATTACACAAACTAACAAGTTAATGATATGGAAGGAGAGCACACAGCGATCCCCCACAGCTAGGTCAGGCACTGAATAGTCACTAAGCCCCCTCGGCATATGCCCTGACCAACCTCATAATGCCGATTAACCCCCCCCCTACGTATAAAGTGGGTGCAGGGTTGGTCGGCAACCTATTGTACATGCTCCACCAATTATGATCAGGTTTATTTCTGTTGATAATGTTTGTCTTTGTTAGAAACATAGCCGACCGAACCTGTATTGCCTTTCTGCTCCATAAGCATAGTTGATAGGCTCACAGGAACTATACCGGCTGCTCATGAGGTTATCTTGTTATCTAATATAAAAATGCATGGTGTTGGTGTTCCAAAATATTTTTTGATTACTCCAGCACTCTTCTGGTCCTCCAAATCCATAAGGGCCCTTCGTTTTCGATTCTGAGCACCTGACAGTTTTTTGGGACCCATAATGCTGCTACACGATACAATAAAAAATATATATTTAAAAGAGAGGCCCTTTTAAGTATAGATGCAAAAGAAATGCAAGATTTGCAGCAGCAGTGTACAGATAATATGAATTTCCTAAATGTAGTACGCCAACATTTGCGCCAAATAAAGTATAGATAAATAAATAAGCATTGCAGGTATTCATCAAATGAATAAGACATCCAAACCTTGTATTTCCAGGTATAGATTAAATAACATAACACATGGAAACATAACATTACATGTGTAGAACAACTAAACATAAAAATCACAACATAAAAATCACATGCTAACACAGTAGTGAAGATATAGATCAACTATAGATCAGCTTCAATGTCACTGTCGGGGGTCTTTGCACATTTGGCAAATTCCCAGACAGTGACAGTGCCACTTTAATAGTATAATCCACAAAGTCAGTTTATGTATTGTAGAAACAAGAGCAATGTTGTTAGTACACTATATTTAACCATTTTACAACACTAAGCATGTATAGCCTCTCCCTCATTTCTTAAACCCACGTCTTTGTTTGGCCCCCTCTAGACAATTTCAGGCACACAATATGCCGCCTTCACCCCCTTCACCAAAACCCTTGGCCACTTCTTCAATAAAACCCCTGCCCCCTTCATCAGACCCTGCCCCCCTTCATCAGATACTGCCTCTATTCATCAGACCCTGTACCCTACATCAATCCCCAGGCTGCACCCCTTCATCAACCCTTGTCACCCATCAGCCCTGCCTCCCTTAGTCCCCTGCCCCCCTTAATTAGACCCAGTGTCACCCATAGCCAGTCCCAGTCCCCTGCCCCCCTTAATTAGACCCAGTGTCACCCATAGCCAGTCCCAGTCCCCTGCCCCCCTTAATTAGACCCAGTGTCACCCATAGCCAGTCCCAGTCCCCTGCCCCCCTTAATTAGACCCAGTGTCACCCATAGCCAGTCCCAGTCCCCTGCCCCCCTTAATTAGACCCAGTGTCACCCATAGCCAGTCCCAGTCCCCTGCCCCCCTTAATTAGACCCAGTGTCACCCATAGCCAGTCCCAGTCCCCTGCCCCCCTTAATTAGACCCAGTGTCACCCATAGCCAGTCCCAGTCCCCTGCCCCCCTTAATTAGACCCAGTGTCACCCATAGCCAGTCCCAGTCCCCTGCCCCCCTTAATTAGACCCAGTGTCACCCATAGCCAGTCCCAGTCCCCTGCCCCCCTTAATTAGACCCAGTGTCACCCATAGCCAGTCCCAGTCCCCTGCCCCCCTTAATTAGACCCAGTGTCACCCATAGCCAGTCCCAGTCCCCTGCCCCCCTTAATTAGACCCAGTGTCACCCATAGCCAGTCCCAGTCCCCTGCCCCCCTTAATTAGACCCAGTGTCACCCATAGCCAGTCCCAGTCCCCTGCCTTCCTTAATTAGACCCAGTGTCACCCATAGCCAGTCCCAGTCCCCTGCCCCCCTTAATTAGACCCAGTGTCACCCACACCCAGTGTCACCTGTTGCCATGGCGCCCTGTGCGGCCGCACAGCTCGCACACCCCAAAGGCCGGCCCTGACTCTGGCCTAATCCAGCCTAACCTTAGCCTAGCCACTTGATACTCCTCTTCCATCCCAATTACCCAAGCCCTATACCGCCGCTGTGACCAAACGGGAAACTTCCAAAACCTAGGGAGGGACAATTAACAGGTAAGTGCAGACTCTGATTAAAATGTCCACTTGCTAAAATGGCCACCCCTTTTACACCCCATTCCTAATTACCCACCCCTAATTCTTGAACTCCACCTGCCTACTCCTCGGCTATGTCAAGGCCCACTCCCCTGACTGCGCTGTTCCATGGGCTTCATGACATGCGCACAGTCGTTATTCGGCCTGTGGCATTTTTACCCCAAAAAAACACAGACACCGTATTCTTAACGTCTCGAGTGCCCCCCCCCCCCACGCGCTATAACCTCCTGAAAACCTAAATTCAGTAAGTCACTTCTGAAAGTCCTTGCGAAAGTACCCAGGCAGCATGCCTTCTAATTCCCAATGCCGCACCGGGACCCTGTCTAACGTCTGGACAAAAACTGAGATGGCTTTATTCACTTTTCACCCTGGCGTGTCTCCAGTTAAATCGTGGCACCATCTCTGACCATACTACCACCACGCCGGAACCAGCTCCCGTAGCCGATCCAACTCCCGCTTCATCCTCCTAATCAGTTCCCTTTGGGGAACCAAACCCAAATCATTACCCCAACTGTGAATTAGTACTATGTCCGGGCAGGCCCCCCCAAAATCCTACTGAAAATCTCTCCACTAATGCTCTGCCAGCTAAAACCACGAAATCCAAACCACTTTAACTCCATCGTTTCCAAAAGAAAACCCAGCTGTGTTCCGTTCTGCCCTCTTCTGTGCACAGTAAACGTATGAGTGACCCACCAAGTGACCAGACCTGAAAAGAAACAAAATCAGTTACCCAGCAGAGCAATAACAACCCCAGCCTTCCCACAGCCCCTGTTACGCCAACCTGTCTGGCTGCACGTACGAACGGAACCGAATGGACTCCCACCTTCCTATCTGTTTAATCCGTTCGTCCCCCAATCCCAGTCGAGCCGCCTCCGTTGCCGCCTCTATGCGAAACGAATGTGTTCCGAATTGCATGGGTTGGGGGCCCAACTTTTGTAGCCCCATGCGGAATACCTGGACAAATTGAAAACGTGACAGCGCAAAGCCATCCTCATGGACTAAAAAACGTCCCGTGACTCCCAGGCGAATGTTTAGGAACTTGGTCCCACACGCCACTGGGCAGACATCTGACCCTGGCAATGAGAACAGGACTACCTTCTTACCTCTCCCGAAAACATCCGTCTTGGAGCGTCTCAATTGAATCTCGACCCTGTCCTGTTCAACAACCACATCCTCGAACCTGAGCCCGTTTATTCCTGACTTGTTGGCGCTGACTAATTCACCGATGCGGAACGCCCCGCAGAAGGCCCAAACAAAAGCTACGGAAAACAAGACCAGTTCGAATGATGATGTTCACATATCGTTCAAAACTCCCAAGAGCCCTTGCAGGACGGCAAACGACACCGGCCTCCTTGTGTCTACAGCCTTCTTCCCCTTTCGGAAGCCTCGCAAGGCTTGTTTCACTAAAAAATTCTTGGTAAGATCTTCCCATCCATTAAGCTTAAACCAAAACGCCAACGCCGACATATAACGGTCTACCCTGGAGGGTGAGGCCCCACCCGCTAATAACCGGCACAGCAACCATAATAGCGCGTCCAACCTACCTGCCGCGGAGTTCCCCACTCCTGTCTGCCCTACTAACTCCTCCAATTAATTCCAAACCTTGGTGTACGCTGCCCAGGTGCCTGGTGCTAGTGAGCTCCTTATAAAATCCCCAAGCACGATGTCCCGAGCTGCCATATTTCTTCCGGGCATGCCTGTCCCGTTTCCTGTACGCCTGGCGCTGCCTCCCGAGAACGCTCCCACTCTGAACGAGACAGTGCATCAGCAACAACATTCAACAAGCCCGGTACATGCCTAGCCCTAAAAACAATATTCCATGACATACAGAAGAGAAGAGAACTAGGTGTCTCAATAACCGAACTACGGGGAACGACGAGGCCAAGATACTATTAATTGCCTGGACCACCGCCATATTATCGGAGTGAAAAATCACCTTTCTGTTCGCGAGTTCCCTGCCCCACAGCGCCACTGCCACTACCACTGAGAAAAATTCCAAGAATGCCAAATTCCTGATTAGTGGGCTTTCCTTCCATGACTCAGGCCACTCCTCGGCGCACCATTTACCCCCCAGGTATGCTCCGAAACCCACACTCCTGATGTCATCCGACGTTGCCGCCGGGTCCCTAAAAAAACACCCGACCATTAAACTCCTGCAAAAAACGGTTCCAAACGTCCAAGTCAGCCCTCATATCCACTGATACCCTGATGTAATGACCCGATAACAAGTAGCTCGAGCTAGCTGCCTACAAAAAACCCTACCCATAGGGATCACCTTACATGCGAAGTTCAGGCTCCCCAGCAGGGACTGCAGTCCCCGCAGGGTCACTTTCCTTGAACCCCTCACTTCTCCCACCCGTTGGCGGAGTGCCATCAGCTTATCCGTGGGTAACCGACATTCCCCTTTCTCCGAGTTGATTTCCAACCCCAGGAAGCTCAGGCACTCGGTCGGGCCCACGGTCTTATCCCCAGCCAACGGAATCCCAAATGCTTGTGCAACCCACTGCAAAACCTGCAGTATCTGGCTGCAGAGGTCGGAGCCCTCTGGACCCACGCACAAGAAATCGTCCAAGTAGTGCACCACTGCACCCCCGGCTGACTCCTGACGCACCACCCACTCTAAAAATGTGCAGAACTTTTCAAAATAAGAACAGGAAATAGCACAGCCCATGGGCAAACATAGGTCTACGAAAAACCCCCCTTTGAAAAAACACCCCAATAAATGGGTAAATAAGAAGCAGTCTAAAAGCCGCTTCCACGTCAACTTTCGCCATTAACGCCCCCGCCCTGCTTTTCGAACCAACTCGACCGCTTGGTCGAATGATGCATATGAGACAGAGCTTAGGGCGCGTCAATGTCATCATTGACGGATGCCCTTTTGGGTAAGACAAATGATGTATCAAACGGAATTTGCCTGGTTCTTTCTTGGAGACTACCCCAAGTGGGGACACCCTCAAGTCTGGCAGCAGCGGAGCCACATAAGGCCCCGCCATCCTACCCTGCTGTACCTCTTTCAGCAATTTCTCCCGAACCACCCCTGGATGTTCCCGCACGGATTTGAGGTTCGCACATAATTTCCCCTGTCCCTTCCCCTTAAATGGAATAGTAAACCCCACTGTAAAGCCTTTCCTCAAAAACTTGCGGTGAGCGTATCACTTTAGCCACAGTAGCATCTCGCCTACCTTCACCGGGGTTGCCCCCAGCGGCAGTGGCGGGGGCCGCAGCCCCGCTGGCAACCACTCCGGAAGCCGGCTTACCTCTCTTGAAGCACCTGTTAGCTCCATGGGCGCCGCCGCAACTGGAACATTCGTGTTTGAATCTGCACGACGTCCCCCATTTGCATTGGCCTTCATTGAAGAGCCAGAAAAACCTCTTCTTTTGCCCGGCTGGCTCTGTTTCTCCAGGTACTGCACCGGCCACCCCCTGAAAGGGCGCAGCCTTCTGCGCCATCATCAGCTTCATACATAGAGGTAAGTCCATTTGGTCCCACCTCATTCTAGGATTCGCTGCTAACCGTTGGCGGAATGGCTCATCGTATTTCCACCACGCTATTCCCCCGTACATGTCCCCTATCCCGTCCAGATAACAAAAAAGTTGTGAGCAGCGGTCATGGTATTTCTCCCCTATAACGCTGGCCAGAATACAAAAAGCCCTGAGTCAGTTCCCAAATGTTTTAGGGATCTTACGATACCTAAAAAAATTTCTCTTCTTCCTCCTTTTTTGCATCCCTTTTGTCCTCCTCTTTTAAATCAAGGAACTCTTCTAGGGGAAGAAGGGAAAAAACCTCTACAAACTCCCCCTTCAAAATCTTGTCTTTAACCTCTGTTTTTAGATGACAACCCAAAGGGCCCGCAAAAGAAACGTGTACATTTTGCCGCGCCGCGTCTGGAATCTCGCCACATAAGTCCATTCTTTCGCCCGGCCCCCCTACCGTCTCAGTCGTAGTTAACGCCACTCACCGCTCCGACTGCTCTATCTGTCGATCCGAGACCCTTCTCTTGGACCCATACCCTCACGAACTGCGGTGACGAAACCTCCCCACTCGTCCATGAATCTAAGAACGATTTCAAGCAGCTCAACAGTGTTTCTGAGTGTGGTGCACCAGTTGACTCACCGCCAGAGCCCCCGGCCGCGAAGTCGCTTTCCGTCCGTCTGCCGCATACGGCTCCGGAGTATCCAAGAGACGCCGTCTCCTTCCAGTCTGATCCCGTCTCGGGATCGTAGGTGTAGCGTTCCGCGACCTGTAAGGAGTAGAACACCTGGGTAGTCTGTTCGTGTGTCCACCTACCCGCCCTTCCTCCCTACGCTCCAATTCATCCTCCCTTAGCCTGTCCCACCTAGCAGCCTGGCCCTCCTGGCCATATGTGTTACACCGCTGTCCTTGTGAACTCCTGTCTGAGGACCAAGAAGCGCTGCGCCGGTCCCTCCTTCTCCTTTCCCTGCAGACTGATCTCCGCCTACTGCACCTGCTTGCAGACGGGCTCCTCTCTCTGGTGCTCCATGCCCTATCATGCCTTACGCTATCTCTGCACCGTTCCCTGCTGTCTTCCGGCCTGGGGTGGCTTCTACAGTCTTGCCGCCCCTGGGAGCTGCCCCTGCGGCCCTCCCGTCCATGCCTAACCCCACTTTCCTCTGTACACAACGCTGACCCTTGTGACTGAGCCCCATGCAGTGAACCTAGCCCTCGATGGGCCGCCCTGTCCGCAGGGGATTCCCAGTGCTGTCCCTGACAGCCAGATTTCCCTTCCGCCACAGACGTGGCCTGCCTCTGCTGCCCCAGCTGGGTGGGCCCGTCGGCCGCCCCCATGCTGTTAGACCCGGCCACCGCCATGGCCGTTCCTGCTGTGTCTCTGTTGCCGGGGCCCCCCCCTGCCACCAGGGGAACGGCCTGCCTGCCATTTACAGCCTCTTACCTGTCCCCTTGCCGCCCGGCTGTTACACTGGGACGCCTCAGGTCTCCGCTTCCTCCTCCACGTCCCTCCGCGTTCCCGGCCTCCATGGGGGCCGCTGCTGTCTTCGCCGCCCTGCCGGCTGCCTTCTGGCGGGTGGCGCTCAGCGTTGTAGGCTGCACTGTAGGCCTCGGCCTGGCCGCCGTCCCTGCGCGACCAGCACCGCGTCGGACAGACGGTGCCGGCCGCGTTCTCTCAGTCCCAGCCTGGCAGTGGCAGATCCAGAGCCTAATCTCGGGAGGGGCACTTGTAGATTATTTAAATAAATAATCCAGGCACAATAACCACTACAGCTCAGTGTAGTAGTTATGGTGCCAGTAGTGCCAGGATCCCACCGTAGTCTAAGTAGTCATAGCGTTTAAGAACAGTTTGACAACTTACCTGGGGTCTGCTGGGGTATAGGGCATAGGAGCAGTGGTGTGTGTTAGGGGTGAAGTGTGTGAGCGATGAAGTGTGTGTGTGTGAGTGGGGCAGTGTATGTCAGGGTTGCAGTGTGTGTGTGTTAGGGGGCAGTGTATGTGTGGGGCAATGTGTGTGTGTGTGTGAGGGTGGCAGTGTGTGTATGGGGGCACTGTATGTGTTTTTGGGGCAGTGTGTGTATGGGGGGCAATGTATGTCTGTGTGGGGCAGTGTGTGTATGGGGAGCACTGTATGTATGGGGGGCAGTGTGTATGGGGCAGTGTATTGTATGGGGGCAGTGTGTGTAGGAGGGCACTGTATGTGTCTATGTGTGCAGTGTGTGTATGGGGGGCAGTGTTTGTCGGGCAGTGAGTGTATGGGTGTGCAGTGTGTGAATGGGGACAGTGTTTGTGGTGTAGTGTGTGTGTGTATGGGGGCAGTGTGTGTATGGGGGGCAGTGTTTGTGGGGCAGTGTGCGTAGTATGTGTATGGGGGCAGTGTTTGTGGGGATGTGTGTGTGGTGTGTGTATGGGGCAGTGTTTGTGAGGCAGTGTGTGTATGGGGGGCAGTGTGTGTAGTGTGTGTGTATGGGGGCAGTGTGTGTAGTGTGTGTATGGGGGCAGTGTTTGTGAGGCAGTGTGTGGGGGCAGTATGTGTAGTGTGTCTATGGGGGGCAGTGTTTGTGGGGCAGTGTGTGTAGTGTGTGTGTGTGGGTGCAGTGTGTTTAGTGTGTGTATGGGGGCAGTGTGTGTAGTGTGTCTATGGGGGCAGTGATTGTGGGGCACTGTGTGTATGGGGGGGAGGAGGAGGGTAGGGAGGCTTTTTAATTTTTTTCTGTTTAATAAAATAAATATACTTTATGTCCCTCCTCCCTTCTTACCTTTACTGGGAGGAGGGGGGATATTTCTGAATCCCTGGTGGTCCCAGTGGTTAGAGTTCACTCTCGCGAGATTTGGAGCGTTGCCGTGGTAACTGCAGCAATGCTCCGTGCTCGCGAGAGGAGGACCAGGAGGAGCTGCAGGCTGAGCTCCCGGGTCCTCTCTTCTCCCGGTCTGCTGGCACATTGCAGGGCTAGCCTGCAGGGGTGAATCTCGGGGGGTGGGGGGCAATTGCCCCGTTGCCCCCTCCCCCCCTGGAACCGCCACTGATACCAGGCATCTGGGTATAAAAAAAAACTTTAGACAATCATTTTGGCCTCCATAGAATTTTTTTTAGCGACCATGGAAACCAATAGAATATAGCTGGATATCCCAATTCTTAATTTTCCCAGAATTAATTCTTATCTGGATCTTGTCCAATAAGTAGGTTACACAACGTAAGTAATATTAAATCACTTAATCTATATTATTTTTTCCCCCAAGGTCATTTTTTCAATCCCTCTGTTTACACATCACTTTGCACACAGCAGTCCCATTGATCCAATTCTCCCTTGAGATAAATGCTCTCCGATAATATCTGTTTATAAAAATATATTCTTCTTGCATGTTATTTATGGTTATTTTATGGTAGCCATAATGTACACTTTCTAATATTGTAAAGATTTATGGACCTTTCCATTGCAATGAATTGTCAGGAATGTAAAGTGCATTCATAGTGAATTTCAAATGTCATACCACAAATACTCCAGATTGGTTATATTTTGACCTTAAATTTGAAATTCACTTTCAATGCCCAACAGTTCACACTTTAGTGAATAATTTAAATTTAAGATAGGACCTTTTGACTGTGCCTTAATTCAACCAAAAGATGTTCACGAGACAAAGTAGGGACTACTTCTTCTCAGGGAATTTGTCAAATTTTGGAAAAATTTGGAATTTCCTCCATTATTTCACATCGACTCTGGCAAGTCGGTTGATTAGAACAGGCATTATTGTCCACCATGTGTAATAGATGCCAATAGTGCATTATTGTGAATGCATGATTTTATCTGTGGAAGATTACACAGCCTCTTAGATCCCGTTTTGTACTCTTGCGCATGTTCGAGAGTACAGTAATGGCAACAACTATGAGCAGGTGAGGTTGCAAGGAGCTACAAACCAATGGCAGTGAAGAATTGTCACCTCAGCAATAATGGTGTTCTATTTAGTCATTCAAAAAGGTAGGCAACAATTCAGCATGCTATGTGTCTTCATCAAGCTTGATAAAGATAATTATTGTGTCGAAATGTTGCCTGTCTCTTTCTTTTAAAACAGCATTTATTGAGTAAACACAAGTATAAAGCCGTGAATAAGGCAGAAAACTTCCCAAATGAGAGTCACACTAACAAACGATTTTAATGAAACATGAATATGTTAAACTTGCACGGCTCCAGTTTGCATATACTAAAACATCAGATTTGTATGTACTGAAATTCCAAACGTGGACTATTAAGGGTCTCAGTGTCTGTCAAAATGGGTATTATGGGAAGAAATTACAGGGATAATGACTACCATTCATGCAATATGGGATTCAAAAATTTAAATAATGGGCAGATCATTATATATTCACAATTACAGTTATGTATGCTGCTTGTTTCCTACACATTATGCATAGCTGTATCGTGTTTTCATTTGTCTTTTGCTCTCTCACTGCAGCCTATAGGTGATTTGTCAAATCGCTTGTCTTCCATTTCATTGAAACGTATAGCCCAGCGGTTCCCAAAAATCCTGCTGCATACAGACGCAGCCCAAGCGCTGGGGAAGGTGGAGGTGGATGTACAAGAATTGGGAGTGGATTACTTGACCGTTGTGGGGCACAAGGTACTCAGAGGGTGTGATGTGCTCTAATGCTTAGTGATAGACTGCACTACATTCCGCTAATGATTAATAAGCTTTAACATGGAGACATGAGTGTGTTGGTTTTAGTCTCCAATTTATCTCCAGGCTGGAGACGTGGTCTTAGTTTTAATCTTGAAACTACTCAGTTTATGCTCCTAGTTGAGTAAGAAGGGGGTGGTCTTCAAATTCCCCAACATGATGATAACCTTCATATTTTTAGTTTTTTTCCAATGTGTTTTATTTAAGCATATTTTTTCATCATTTGTATAAAAACAGAATACAAAGCAAAACAGATGATACAGAAGGAAAAAGGGGAAGGGGGGGGGGGGATGGCAGCTTACTTAGGTCACATCATACATTACAATGTAGTAGAACAAACCGTGGTATTACGTCAATATAGGAAATACAGTTGACAGTTTGCACAATATGTTACATAACGGTGATGGATATACATGAAAACAACCTGGTGACATATATAGTGTGCTGGAAGACTTAACCCAGAGAGTAGGGGAGGGAAAACCCTAGGGGAGCTAATGGCCGATCTATAGCTCCTGCTGAGGCTCTCCCTTCCTATAGTCCACCCAACTCTGCCATCGTGTTTTGTACCTACTTTGACTGTTGGTCAGCCGACTAGCCATGTGCGTGAGTTGAGTCTAGCCTGCCTAGGATTTCTGGCAACGTTGGTGTCAGAGGGGACTTCCATCTATGCGCAATGGCAGTTTTGGTGGCCATTAAATAGTGAATCGCGAAAAAGATCATTTCTACAGGGAGGGTATCTGGGAAGATATGTAATAGAAAGCATTCTGGTGTCTGAGGTATTTTTAAACCCAGAATTTTATGAAGAAGTGCATGTATATCCCGCCACAGCGTGGTGATGTGTGTGCATGTCCAAAATATATGGAAGAGGGACCCTTCGCAGTTGTGGCATCTCCAACATCGGTCGTCAGATCCCGGATATATATGGGCCAATTTAGTAGGGACTAGATACCAGCGCATCGTTAATTTGCAGTATGTTTCCCATTGGTTGAGGCTATAGGAAGCCTGTTTAGTTAATCTTTGGGCGTGATGCCACATTTCTGTTGGGAAATGCATTCCTAGTTCTGATTCCCATTTAGACATATACGCTGGTTTAGATAGCTTATTGTGGAGCAATAATGTGTTGTAGCATAGTGACAATGCTTTAGTTTTTGGTAGTTTGCCCATGCATTTATGGATAAATGGTGGTAGGTGATCGGGTTCCCCCAAGCTAATCCTGCATTCCTGGATAATATTTTTTATTCTGAGGTAAGAGAATAGTTCTCGCGGAGAGATATGGAATTCCCTGATTAAGTCTGGGAAGGGCTTGATGCCATCTGGGGACAATAAGGAGCGGACTTGGGAGATCCCCTGTTTAAGCCAATTATCTAATTGAATGTCTGACGTTCGGGCAGCCAGGGCCTGAAGTGGGGCTGCAAGGAGCAGGTCGTTGTTTTGTAGGAATAGCGGTGTAGTTTGCTTCCAGTTTTGGAGGAGCGAGACCGTGGTGGGTAGCAAGGATTTGGCTTTGGGGAGCCCAAAGGGACAGAGGAATTGAGCCATTGGGTGTGCAAGCGTTCTCCAACGCCAGCCATACCGGGGGAGAAGGACGTTCAAGGATCGTAAGGCCCTGGGCCAACAATGACGCCTTGTAATAAAGAGATATATTAGGAACACCTAGCCCCCCTTTTGTAAACGGGCGCCAGAGTGATTTTTGCGCTATCCTGGGGGGTTTCCGTTTCCAGATATGAGCATTTATCATGGCCTGAAAGTTCTAAGATTGGGTTTGGGATTGTAATGGGGAGGGTGCGGAATAGGTATAGGATATGTGGTAGAATCATCATTTTTACAGTGTGGATTCGTCCCAACCAAGAGATCTCTTTCTCCTCCCAGGTTCTAAGAAGTTGTTCTAGTCTGTGGATGAGTGGTAGGTGATTTTCCTGCACTATTGCTGAGTGCCTCGTTGGCAATTTTATACCCAAATAGGAGATGGAGGAGTTCCGCCATTCAAATGGGTACAGTGGTTTTAGGAGTGTTAGGGAGGTATGTGACAGTCCTATCGCCATCGCTTGTGTCTTTTTGGCATTGTTTTTATAGAACGATACCTTTCCGTAATTACCCAGAAGGGTTAGCAAGTTCGGTAAAGACTTCTCTGGGCGTGTTAAAAATAGAAGGACATCATCTGCGAATAGGGCTATTTTTTGGGTCCCTATAGGGGTAGCTAGGCCTTCAATTGTTTTGTCGTTTTTTATGTGCCTAACTAAGGGTTCCATGCATATTATAAAGATTAATGGGGAGAGGGGGCAGCCCTGTCTGGATCCATTTGTTATTTGAAAGGGTTGAGATAGAAACCCGGAGTTAAATATTCTGGCTGCTGGATTAGAGTATAGGGCCATGATACCTTTCAAGAAGTCTGGTGGGATGCCTACTGAAGTTAGAACAGCCCTCAAATAAGTCCAATTTAGGCGATCGAACGCTTTTTCCGCGTCCAGGGCTAACAATATGCCACTTTGGTTAGTTTTTTGAGCCCATGAAATTAGGTTCAGAAAGTGTCGTGTATTGTCCCACGGTTGTCTGTTCGGGACAAAACCTGCCTGCTCTGGAGAGACCAGATCTTGCAGGAAGGGTTGGAGACGATTGGCTAGCAATTTGGCAAAGAGTTTTGTGTCTGCGTTCAGCAGAGAGATGGGCCTCAGGTTGGCGCATTCAGTGGGAGGTTTGCCAGGTTTGGGGAGTGTAACGATATGGGCTAGCAACATCTCCTCCGGCATAGTTCCTGAGTCCTTAAAGAAGTTAAAGAGCTCCTGTGTAAGGTTATATAGACCCTTATAAAAATTTGCCAATTCGTTCTCTATATCTTGTGGGTTGAATAGTTTTGACCCAGTGGCTGAAGTCATATAAGGAAGTTTGGATTGTATGTATCGGGATTTTAGCCGTTTTGCGAGCAATTTGCCTGCCTTGTTCCCTTGCATATAGTAGGCGAGCTTCAACTTGCGGAGCTGCCGTTCCATACCTATCAGGGACAGTTCAAGTAGTCTTTCCCTTAGCTTTTCAATTTTGTGGGATAGCGTTTTAGTTGGTTTGAGTTTGTTATCTTGGTCTAGTGTTTTAAGTTGAGAGAGCAGACTATCTGACTCAGTGTAGGTTTTTCTTTTGTTTATTGCGCCCGCCTGGATTAAAAGGACTCTTAATACGGCCTTGAGGACCAACCATTTAGTGTCTATGCGGGTGTGGTCAGATTGGTGGGTTTGAAGAACGTAAGTATGCTGGCCCGAATTTTTGTGGCGGTGTTCTCGTTATCTATGAGGGATTCGTTCAGGCGCCAAGCACTGCGCCCTCGTGAGGGGAACAAAGCCCTGAATGTAGTAATTACCGGCGCGTGATCAGACCATGTCCGGTCACCTATTTGCGCCTCTATTATATTGGGTACCGTGGATTTATCTACCCAGCACATATCTATACGGGAGTATGTGTGGTGTACTCGTGAGAAATAGGTGTAGTTTTTTTTCTGTCGGATAGAGAGTGCGCCACGAATCATATAGATCGTGTGTATGAAGCAATGTGCTGAGGGTAGCGCTCATAGTGTTAGCGTGTTGAAGAGGGTGTTTACCTTCGATGCGTTTAATATCTTATTCGGGGTCTAACGTGCAGTTTAGATCACTACAGATAATGGTGTGTCCCATACGGATGGTAGAGATTTTATTTAGCGCTCTTTTAATGAAGGAAGTTTGGGAGTTGTTAGGGGCATATATGGATGCAATCGTGAGTTGCATTCCGTTCAGTGAGCCCACTACTATGAGAAGCCTTCCTAGTTCGTCTACATAGATGTTATCGAGATGGAAAACCCAGTCAACGTGGAACAATATTGCCACCCCTTTTGTTTTGTTTGGAGCAAGGGCATGGAATACCTGTTGGTATCTAGATGAGTTTAATTTGGGGGGGTTCCTTTTACACATGTGTGTTTCCTGGAGGCAAATAATAGCAGCCTGAGATTTATGAATGGTTTTAATCACAGAGCTCCTTTTGAATGGGCTATTTAAGCCATTAACGTTCATAGATAGGCATTTGAATTGGTACATCATCTTAAAGGGACATAAAGCGGAGCCTATTAGCTGATGCATACCACCTTTCAACGGCGGATATGGGTCCTATGGTAAGCTGAGGATCGGTGTAAAATTGGGTAAGCTCAGGTGTCTGGTTATATCCTACACAGATATAAATCATTGCAGCTGCCGGAGAGACGGGAAGGGAATTAACATGGGAACCAAAATCAACAAACATAAGTATATACAGTAACTCTCTGAGTTGAGAGAAGAACATTGGATCCAGAGGGGAGCCTTGGAGCTCCAAGTACCTCGAATGCCCTTTGGAGGGTCGTGCGGAGCAGGACCGCACCCGGGCCAGATTCTCAAAGTAGGCAGGACTGGTAAGGGTAAAAACATGGGGGAGTGTATGCATAGACCGCAATCTCACCTGCGCCTTATATAGGCCGGTAAGGCGGTATAGGGGGACATGGGCAGCGGACTTGCGATGTCGCGACTGGGGATATTATGACAAAAAAATTTTTTTCTTTCAAACTAAACAGTGAGTGCAATTATTTCTCGGGGCTTCAACCTCGGCCCACGGCAAGCGGCCCATCATCCATGTAATTATGTGTCGTCCTATAAGGAGGGGGGCAAGTGGGGGCCCTACCTGTGGGGTGCAATGGGGTATAAGTGAGGTGAGGTGGCTCTCGGGGGTGTCTGCAGCCTACCAAAGGAAAAAGCTAATTATTTAGCAGATCAGTTAAGCGCAGGGATGGTATCCCACCTTACTAGTTGTTTACAATATATGACAGTGAGACATACAGTACCCCTCCGTATCATATTTTTAGTTTTAATGATCTCTCTTCTGATGAACTGTTATAGTTTTTACTTGCCTCTTGATACTTTCAGAATAGAAAAAATAAATAAACTAAGTTGTATGTTCTCTTGGATACATTTCCTTATCTCTCACTAGTGGTACTCAAACTTCCAAAGCCATGGTCCATTATAATTCTGCATTCATACCAAATTTATTTCATCATTTAGATAAAGAATACAGTCCTCTGGTGACCAAATGTCTTTGTTTAGCAAAAGATGGCTATTAAGCATTCTGAGAAGAACCCTGGTCCCTGGTATGACTCACAGCCCTGTATGTATCAAGTGCTACTCTGTATTTTCGATACACCAGAGTTGCCACTTACTAGTGTGCAATACCAAGAACTCTCTTGTGAGAGATACAGATGCTGACGAGTGACTTGGGATGCAGCAGAGTTGGCCCAAAAAGAATATATAACACATCTTTAGAAAGATGGGCTACTTGGTAACTATGAGTTAAAATGCATTGTGTTTAGCAAACTGTAATCATTCCAGAAACTGCAACCTTCGGCACTCCAGATGTTGTGGGCTATGTCTCCCATGATGCTTTGTTAGCATTATGACTGTTAGAGCATTATGGGAGATGTAGTATACAACATCTGGAGTGCCAAAGGTTGCCTACCCCTGCTATACACAAACTAAATTCCCCACATGTAAGGAAGAGACCCGTCAAGCAGGGAACAAGTAAACATACATTGTAAGTAAACATATACTTGGGTGAGTAGACCAATCACCAGCCTCCTAGAGGATCAATGAGGCAGATGTTGGTGGCACTGGGAAATACACAACAAAGTGCATTGTGTAACCATCATTTATGTCTGCTTCTATAGGTTCCATGGGATCTGGACATTTAGGAAACCCCTATGGAAATACATAATACAGCAGGTTGTGTAATAAAGATCTATGCTAGCTTTCCGTGGGGAGATGAGAGTAATGATTCAAATTGGTGCTTTGAAGAATAGGATGTTAACATAGAAGTTATAGATCAGAGCAGGAGATGGTTTGGTGGCCCTGGTCTCCTCAGCTGTAAGGGAAACACACTGTACGCGTGCTATCAATACAACAATAGGTGCAGTTAATAATTACAGTCAAGCTTTTGTAAAGAGAGCGTTTGACCAATAGGAGATACTCTGCAAAGGAGAAACACTATGTATATATTTGACTGGAAGGATAATAAACATTTCAAGAAAGCCGCGCGTTGTATGTGCTGTAATCTTATTTCCATCATTTCAATTGTCTAGTCTAAAATTCCTGCAAATCTGACATAGCATAATACACTGCTCAAAAAAATAAAGGGAACACATAAATAACACATCCTAGATCTGAATGAATTAAATATTCTTCTGAAATACTTTGTTCTTTACATTGTTGAATGTGCTGACAACAAAATCACACAAAAATAAAAAAATGGAAATCAAATTTTTCAACCCATTGAGGTCTGGATTTGGAGTCACATTCAAAATTAAAGTGGAAAAACACACTACAGGCTGATCCGACTTTGATGTAATGTCCTTAAAACAAGTCAAAATGAGGCTCAGTAGTGTGTGTGGCCTCCACGTGCCTGTGTGACCTCCCTACAACGCCTGTGCATGCTCCTGGTGAGGTGGCGGATGGTCTCCTGAGGGATCTCCTCCCAGACCTGGACTAAAACATCTGCCAACTCCTGGACAGTCTGTGGTGCAATGTGACGTTGGTGGATGGAGCGAGACATGATGTCACAGATGTGCTCAACTGGATTCAGGTCTGGGGAACAGGCGGGCCAGTCCATAGCATGAATGCCTTCGTCTTGCAGGAACTGCTGACACACTCCAGCCATATGAGGTCTAGCATTGTCTTGCATTAGGAGGAACCCAGGGCCAACCGCACCAGCATATAGTCTCAACAAGGGGTCTGAGGATCTCATCTCGGTACCTAATGGCAGTCAGGCTACCTCTGGCGAGTACATGGAGGGCTGTGTGGCCCCCCCAAAGAAATGCCACCCCACACCATTATTGACCCACTGCCAAACCAGTCATGCTGGAGGATGTTGCAGGCAGCAGAACGTTCTCCACGGCGTCTCCAGACTCTGTCACATGTGCTCAGTGTGAACCTGCTTTCATCTGTAAAGAGCACAGGGCGCCAGTGGTAAATTTGCCATTCTTGGTGTTCTCTGGCAAATGCCAAACGTTCTGCATGGTGTTGGGCTGTAAGCACAACCCCCACCTGTGGACGTCGGGCCCTCATACCACCCTCGTGGAGTCTGTTTCTGACCGTTTGAGCAGACACATGCATATTTGTGGCCTGCTGGAGTTAATTTTGCAGGGCTCTGGCAGTGCTCCTCCTGTTCCTCCTTGCACAAAGGCGGAGGTAGCGTTCCTGCTGCTGGGTTGTGGCCCTCCTACGGCCTCCTCCACGTCTCCTGATGTACTGGCCTGTCTCCTGGTAGCGCCTCCATGCACTGGACACTACGCTGACAGACACAGCAAACCTTCTTGCCACAGTTTGCATTGATGTGCCCTCCTGGATGAGCTGCACTACCTGAGCCACTTGTGTGGGTTGTAGACTCCGTCTCATGCTACCACTAGAGTGAAAGCACGCCAGTATTCAAAAGTGACCAAGACATCAGCCAGGAAGCATAGGAACTGAGAAGTGGTCTGTGGTCACCACCTGGTGAACCGCTCCTTTATTGGGGGTGTCTTGCTAATTGCCTATAATTTCCACCTGTTGTCTATCCCATTTGCACAACAGCATGTGAAATTGTCACTCAGTGTTGCTTCCTAAGTGGACAGTTTGATTTCACAGAAGTGTGATTGACTTGGAGTTACATTGTGTTGTTTAAGTATTCCCTTTATTTTTTTTGAGCAGTGTATGTTCTAACAAACCATTTATTAAAACCTATAGAAGGAAACATTCACACTAAATATGTACAGCTAAAGTAAATTTAGTACAAAATAGATATGTTCATGTATAGCTGCTTACCAGTCCACAGTGGACCCCTAAGTAATAATTTTTCTTCTTATAAATAGCTCTGAGAACAAATTGTGAGCTTAGACTTAACCACAAATAGTTGTCCCATCATGCATTTCATTGACCTCTCTCGCCTTTCTCAGATGGATGTGGCTATCAGAATACTTTATCACTATTTATATTGCTAAATCCTGTATAAGTGAGATATTTGCACTCACAGCTAAACATGTGGCAAAAATGACAATGTAGATATACGTCCACTAATGTGAATTTAAATGCACCAATTTACACTGTTTCTGATGTTTTTATGCAGTTCTATGGGCCGCGTATTGGAGCACTATACGTCAATGGCATTGGGCAATTAAATCCACTGCTTCCTATTTTTTATGGAGGAGGACAGGAACGCAACTTTCGACCAGGGTGAGAATTGTTGTCTGCATTTGATTGGAATTACCTTTTCAATATATTTTACAGTAATGCCTTAGATGCACCTCACTCTTTCATAGGGCTAAAACATGAAGACATGTAGTAGTGCTGTCTAAAAGCATTTTGTAAAATAAAGTAAAAAGTAACTTTGACTGTGGAGGATGGCTTGCAGATTAATACGTTTTACTAAGTCTGACTTGTATGTAAAAATAAATCTTTTTTAAAAATAAAAAATAACCATAAGTCAAATTATTTCTAAAAGAAGGGATATGATGGCAAGCATTAACAAACCCTAAAAAGAAAATTAAAAGTTGCTTCTCCTGACAAGTAATGATTGTCTATTGTCCTAACCATAATTTTTGTGACTGTGTCCCTGTACTTTAAATAAAGAATGTCTAACAAAAATACTGATTGTAAGTGGTTGTGAATAAATGATTCCAACATGATGTGGACAAAATTCATATTAAAGGGGGACGGGGCCTGAACACTGATCGGATCAGAAAATTGGAGCTAATTCCATGCTGCAAGCTGACACTAACCCAAACAGGTGATCATACTACCCACCAGACCTCATAAGACCCCATACGGCATCGAAGTAAGACTGGGGGGCTTATCCTGGTCCCCACGGGTGACCACCTCTGCACACAGCTGCGCTTAAGCACCCACCCGGGTGAGAATCATGTGAGGACCATGCAGAGTGCATGTAAGCTCATACTACCACGCACGGCAAAGACCCCCAACAGCTTATGGGACAAGTTATCTGTTCACCTTGAGATGCCAAATGCACCGGCTGCGGAAAATACGCAGAGAGAAGGAAGGTGGGAGACGAGCGGGACCCCCCTGGGCTCTCCTTCCAAAGCAACATTGCAGCCTCTCATTATGGGCTCATCAGGGCTGAAGACCACCATGGAGAAATTCCTAGAGCATCGGCCAACGACGAGGAGCATCCGATGCCACAGGCGGCGATTGTCCACTGGGGTCCAACGCTGTACCCTGCAAGGGAAGAACTCTGCCTCCTACGCAAGTAACCAAGTACGTGGTTCATAGATGCAGGCCTTCACGACAGCCCGAGGCTATGGGGAGCACTTACTCAGACTCTGCCTCTTGTCGCCACGGCACCCCCTAAGCCTGTTACCAAGCCGGGCATGGGCTGATACGGGACTTTGCACCCAAAACACACAGCTGGCGAGGTCTACCACAAGCTGGATTATCCCCTTGATGTCCACATGCATACATCTATATCCCTGCGCATGATTTTGCTCACAGAGTGCTCCGATATCTGGGACTTGCTAACTTGAGTTTTGTACATGCCCACATGTTGAAGCATAACGGTTTGAATGAGGATGGGCACTAATATTGGCAGCTTGCCAACTCATGAGTTATCTGTTAGCCGAAATGGCACTCCCTACTGCAGATACATGCACTTGGCATACACCTGGCATCGATATACACCAGCTTCAACGCGCGCACACACGACACACTCACAGACATGCCTGTATTAGGGAACAAGGCCGATCCATGCCACAGGCAAGCACACACCAAGAGGGGGAACCCGTGATATCCCAAGCCTGTATACCATGAAGTATATGCAATACTAACGCACCCACACATATCTAGCCTGGAACACTCCCTTCTTCACTTGTACCAGCATCGTAGTACACTCATGAACACACTGCATGTACTATCATATCTAATGCCAAACTGTTCAGGAACATCTAGTTTGACACAACGTGCACCACTATAACAGTGTGGCTGCCTCGCATAGGAGTGTCTTCTGCTTAATGTTATTGCATATGTCTCTTGTCTCTCTGATCTAAGTGCTTTCATAATATTCCTGTTTCTGTTATTATAAAATTGTGCATGTCTACTCTACTACCCCAAATATAATGCTTGATGCACCGTTTGAGGATTGCCGTCAGGGTACCTCAAGCTTGTCTGTTATACTCTTATGCACTGCAAAAATAAAAACTAAAAAAAATTCATATGGAAAACTCTGTTTACATATTAAATAGTAATTTTGTCCAAATACGGTCCAATATGGAGCTGTGCAATATCAGCTTGTGAGTTCTACCAGTGCTAATTTTACATTGAACTGTCAGTAAGTTAATGGACTATTTTAAGTAGTTCTATAAATGCAGGAGACATAAACACGAATAGTTAATGTATTTTATTTAAATAGCGCCAACAAAATAATTTATTGTGCATTAAGTGTGATGTAGTATCTTTGATGAACTATTCATGTACATCTTTGTGTTTCTCTCATAGCACAGAGAATACACCAATGATTGCTGGACTGGGGAAGGTGAGCCACAAATAATCCTGCATGGGCTTTCCTGATAATCTACAACATCATTTATTGAGTGCAACCACTGGCATACGTGAAAACACAATCCCACAGAAAAAGTCAGGAGTTGTATACAAGCAGAATAATATATCACGCATTTGTTCCTGTTTGGTAACCAAAATAGAGGTGGATGCTGCAGTGTCCAACACTTTCCCCAGGTCTTAGAAACATAGAATGTTACGGCAGATAAGAACCATTCGGCTCATCTAGTCTGCCCTGCTTATTGTCGTCACACTGCTTATTGTATGTCAGGTATTTAATCATCTCTGGTTTTACTGGTAGGCTATAAGTCTTAGATGTAGTAATGAATTTGGCAGTCGACAGGTTCAAGTGCATGGCACTAGATTTCTCGAAATTTTATTTTATATCCAGTTATTGCTCCAAAGTATTTTATGGTATTAACTAAATATGGAAGTGAATCTATCAGATCAGTTATTGTAAGCAGGACATCATCAGCATATGCCAAAAGTTTATTATGATCCGTGCTTACCTGGATTCATTTTATACTTTTTCAGCGTTCAATGATTGCACCTGTGAAGGTGTTCCATTATGCTTTGTTACCCAAATAAAAACCACTGTGTTCCTCATGTTTTTAAATAACTGTCTATTGGGAATATAATCGACTTGGTCAGGATGTATTAGTTTCTGAAGTATGGGTTTGACCCTGGCTGCTAGGGTATGCGCTAAGATTAACATAATTATTAATTAAAGATATGGCTCTATAATTTCCAATCTCTTAAGGTCTTTTCCTTCTTTAGGGATTAGCACTATATCTGTCATCAATGTTTCCTGTGTAAGGTCTACATGTCTTAGGATATTGAAAAGTTTTGTCTAGTGTGGAATGAGAGTTTCTCGAAAAGTTTTATACTAAGGTCCATGAAACCATCTGGTCCTGGAGTTTTATAGTCCTTAAGTGTTGAAATCGCATTGGAAATCTCGCCTTCCATGAGCTACGTGTCCAATAAGGAAACTGTTTCCTGTGGTAGGCTTGGTAAAGTAAGGGAGGTAAAATATTTGTGTAGAGCCTCCATGTAGAAGGCATTATTTAAATTATGTTTCGGAGAGTGATTGTACAATTCACTAAAAAAAGTAAAGGCTTTGCAAAGTGAGTCTGTGTCTTAAGGGAGATTATAATTCTAACAGGGTTTGTGACTTTTTCTTCCTTTTCGAGGCTAAACTAATTGTGTCCTCTCATGACCGACTTGTGGACTGACCATAGAGTAAATAAGGAGATTTCTCATTAGGTGTTCTTTGCAAAGTTTGTCGGTAATTTTTGTGTAACATCCTCTACCATATTCTTATCTCGCAGCAGAGAGTCATTTAGGTGCCATGTCTATGGTGGTTTGGATGTAGATGCTCTAATGTGAATCATAATAACAGCAGGATCAGACCATGTGATGCTCCCTATTTCAGACTTGGTTATCAAATGTTTCATGGGTCTGTTCAAGAATAGGTCTATGTGAAAATATGTATTGTGTGGATTGGAATAGAAAGCATAATCTATGGTGTCTGGGTGATGTTCCCGGTGTCTGGGTGATGTTTTCAATCAGCGCTGGTCTATGTATAAAGTGGTATAAAACAGTTTGTCTTGTCGTCCCATGCCATGTGACCATGGGCACCATGCCCCTTACTTCTGTGGACAGTGAAACATGGCCTTGCATTAAAGTCCCTACCTATAATTAGTGGTTCTTGGGATATGGGGGCTAGAAGGGTAGCTATGTCTTTCCAGAATCGAGTGTTTTGGTGCATGTATGGTCAGAATATTAATATTTATATTACCAATTATATCCTTTGAGAGAATGTATCTCTCTTCCTTATCTTGTATGGTCTGAGAAATCTGGATGGCCACTCCATTTTGCTTTCTGTGAGTCAGAGGTATATACCGACGTAAAGATGTGATCAGGAAGTCATATTTTGTCAGTTTTTGGGATATATGTTTCCTGTATTAAGGCTACATCAGCTTTTAATCGTTTTATAATCTTCTCTTATTGGGGGTATACAACCCTTTTACATTTAGGGAAACAACTTCAATAGCTATTTCGTCTGTAACAGAATTATCTGTTTTATGACTCTGTATGATAATCTACTCGTATTGGCCGGGTCAAATGCATTGCTATTTTCATACTCCCCAAAAGTCTCTGACTCTCACCAAACCACTACAGCATCATGGTGTAGTAGATTATTTTTCTGCAAACCAATTAGTTTGAATGACTATCTGTTCCTGTCCAAATTAAAGATAATAAAGTTGCGTGCACGCAGAAGTAAATTCACACTGAGACACAGAGTTCAGGTTAATGAAAGAACTTCGGAAAAGTTTAATGGCTTCTAACAGAAAATGGGTGCGCAGACCCTTATAAAGGCATTTTTACATCACTGAAGAATTCAAGATAACAGCAAATAGACACTATTGATTGGTCCAGGTGTTAAGTGGTTAGTTAGATGCCCTCCCATCCAGAGGTGATGTCATCCTTGACACGGGAGTGGACACAAGATGTAGGCGCCATCTTGTTAGCACAAGGTGTTCACTCGATGGGAGGGGTGCTTTGGCAGCCATTTTGAGTAGTTAGTATTGTTAGCTTCAAGGTTCTTTTAGTAAATACACATTTTATTATTCAGCACATTTCTTCCTGCCAAAGCATTAGCTTAGATAATTTCAAGAATTCTATAATTCTACAACAATGGGAAGGACTGAAAAGGACAAGGGCAGGTCAATCTATATATAAATATAAAAATGAGCATGTAACTAAACTTTAACATGTTAAGTTTAATTGCTTGATGTTTTGGCATAAACAGCGCAGATATGAACACCTGGTCTTATAATGCGCCAGGTAATATTAAGGGTGCAGTCCCCTCGACTCTTTGTCCACCTTAAAACTTGGACGGTATCGCGGCCTCCTGAGACAGCCTATCTCTGTTATCTGTGTCAAAAGCGATAGGGTATATATTATCTTGGTATCACTGACCCTTCTGTATGTTCTCCCAATGGTCTCCCCTTAAAATCAGTCTCGAACCGCTCGGTCCATGTAAATCCGGGCGAGAGAAAGAGAAAAAAAAACTTCTATCTGTCGAAGGGGAGCTACATTCTTGTAACAGAATGTATTGTCAGACGATTCTCTAAAATTTAAATCCTCTGTTATACAGGCATCTAACTGATACTTGATGTTTCATGGCACACCTAAAGTATCATAGGGAGAAAAGCTCTTTGTTTCCCTAGCTTGGCCTTAACATTCAATAAATTCTGACAGCTTCAAACTTGGGATTTGGTTTTCTGCTCATCAGAGCTGTGGTTTAGTAAGGTTGAATAGTTTGTCAGCAGCTTTTAATTAGGTGACTTATTCAATATTCCTTTTCCACAGGCTGCAGAGTTGGTATCATTACATTGTAGTTCATATCATGCTCACATGAAGAGTACTCGGGATTACCTGGAACAGAAATTAAAGGTGAGGAAAAACAGTGTGTGGCTTGTGTATGTGTAAAATGCATGCCAATGAATGCAAGAAATCACACAATAAAAGATGTGCAAGATAACCTCTCAGGGATTATTGTTGCTGTGATCTTGGGTATTCAAATTTGTTTTTGTAACACCATACAGAGCATGTCACTCAGATAGGTGTTTATAATTAGTTTTGCTCACTATAGTACTTGCACAACATTTAATTTTAAAAGTACTCGTCGAGGTCTGTAATAGTTAATTGATTTATTATTTCTTCTCCTTTTAATTCTGGGAAGACTGCGTTTTTTTTGTATTTAATAAAGATTCTATAGTACTCAAAAGCATAAATAATTTTACATTTCATAAGTAAAGAAATTTGCATGTTGATTCTAATTTATTTGCTGGAAATGGCAGCATCTCTCCTGATCCAGTTTGGCACCCACAATTAGCATAATTTTCAATAAAAAAACAAATCTATAAATGCAGATTATTTCAAAAGACTACTAGGGTTAATCACTAAAGTGTAAATTGTTGGTAATTCAAAGTCAATTTCAAATTTTGGGTATAACGATTTAAATTCACTTGGAATTCCTGATAATTCACATCTGATTGAATAATCCTGTACCGTTAAAGTTGTGCTCCATGCAGGAGCGTAACTTGGGGCATTTGGCACCTGGGGGGGATCCTGGGCATGGCACCCCCTCACCCATCCCCTCCCCCCGCCCCCCCAAAAAAACCTGTAACATTTTTTAAATGTTTTCCTTTTTTTTTTTTATGTATTGAACAAATTTGGAAACTTTGCAAAACCGCTGTCAGCCCCCTTCTACAAAACCCTTGTGTGCCCCACCCCCTCCTACAAAACCCCTGTCCCGCACCGTCTACAAATCCTGTATTGCCCCCGTCTACAAAACCCCTGCAACCCCCATCTACAAATCCCCTTATAAAGACTCCTGTCCCAATACAAAACCCCTGCCCCCTTCTACAAAATACCTGCAGCCCCACACACACATTTACAGGCAGACAGTCACACACACAGTCAGGGTCGCCATCAGAAATTGTGGGGCCCGTAGCAAAGCTCAAGGTCTGGGCCCCCGGGTGCCCACCTCCAAATCCTGCCCACAGGAATACACACACACAGACAGACATAAAAGGACACAGACACACACACAGAAAGATACACACATACTAACAGACACAAATACTTAAACAGACATACACACATATAGACACATGCATAAGGAGATACAGATACACACACATACACACACACTGACGTACATACAAACCTCCCCTTCTTTTAAGTTTGTACAATAATTTTCTCGCTATGCGGTCTCTCTTATCATTCCAAATAAGCCTGCCAATGCAGTCTGTAGGCTGTCAAGGTACATTTTAGTGACCGATATTGTGAGGGCTTGAAATAAGAAGAAAAGGCGGGGGCAATAAATGTAATTTTAATTGAATGCACTCTGACAAGCCACACAGATATATACATACACAGATACATACAGACATACTGACATACACACACACACACAGACATACATGCATACTGACAAACATACTGATAGATATATATAGATAGATATATACATACTGACACACACACAGACATATATACATGCATACTGACATACATGCATACTGACAGACATACATACACGCATACTGACATACATACACGCATACTGACATACATACATGCATACTGACATACATGCATACTGACATACATACACACACACATACATGTCATGTGTGTATGTATGATGTTTCAAGTAGCCTCTCTCATTGTAGCAGTAAAGCAGGTGTATTTTCTCACTTCATGTCCATGAATGTGTCCATTGAGAGACACACTTGAAGAGATTAAAAATCCATCTCCAACCCCATCCTTTATCTCTTGGCCTAGATCACTTTCACAATGCCTACATATTTCTAAAACAGGAAAAGGTATACAAAATGCATTTGACTTGTTTCTACATAAGGACTTAAATTTTATTCTGTCATTGGTAGAATGCAAATACATTTCATTGAAAAGAGAAAATAAGACACAGCATAAAACAGAGCGTCCTTGTGAAGTATCGCAAATACAGAGGTAAGAGAATGCGAACCAGCAAAGTTAGAAAAGGCCTACACAGACATACTGACAAACAGGCATACATACATACTCATCGTGTGGCCCTAAATGCTTGGGCCACCTCATGGGCCTGGGTGCAGATGCATGATGCAGTTTCGCCGCTCCACATGGGGCCTGGGCACACAGTTACAGGCATACAGTCACACACAGTTATAGGCAGACAGTCAGAGACAGTCATGCACACAGTTACAGGTAGACAATCACATATACATTCACACACACACACGCTCACAGGCAGACAGTCACACACACACACACACACACACACACACACACACAGTAAAAGGCAGCAGCCGGCAGTCACATGCACACAATCACAGACAGAAAGTCACACACGGTTACAGGCGATATCAAACAGTCACAGGCAGACAGTCACACATACATAGTCACATGCAGACAGTTATACACACAGTCAGTTACAGGTAGTCACACAGAGTCATAGCCAGGCAGTCACACACACAGTTATTGGCAGACAGTCACATATACAGTCACACACACAGTCACAGGCAGAGAGTCACACATCACATACACAGTTATAGTCACACACACAGTTACAGGCAGACGCACACACACACACACAGTTACAGGCATGCAGTCACACACACACACAGTTACAGGCATGCAGTCACAAACACAGACACACAAATACATACACCGTTACAGGCAGACACACACATGCAGACAGACACACATACACAGTTACAGGCATGCAGTCACACACACACACACAGTTACAGGCAGACAGACAGACACACACAGTTACAGGAAGACCATTTTACAGACACAGTCACACACAGACTATTACTTACAGACAGGAGCTGGAGGAGGAGTGGATTCACTGGAGTCCTCCTGAAACCTGTTAGATGGAGAGGCAGGGATTCCTTCTTGCTGCACCTCCATGTGCAGCAGTAACAGCAGCGGGTAAGGGCTGTATTAAGCTCTGCCCCCGTCGCCGATTTGACTCCGCCCCGATTCTGCTTACTCCCAACCCCCACTTTCCTTCCATGCGGCCAGTTCAGCTGCTTCTTGCATGTGTGGGCTGTTCTGGCCGCACGGCACCCTAACTAACATGGGGGGGTTCTGTGCGGCAGTACAGCTCACACAGCCCCCACACCAGGGTCATGGCACCCCCTACCCAGTGGCACCCGGGGCGGCCACCCCCTCCACCCCCCCACCCCCCCTTAGTACGCCACTGGCTCCATGTTCTAATTTTGGTTTTCTGAAGTGTATATTCTTAGATTTAACTGAATTGACAACTGATTAGTAGATATTACACAGCTTTCCTCTGTTTTCTGGCCGACCAAGGTTGTAAGGCCTCTAAGAAGAAATTGCAGTGGTGCCAACCCTCAGTGATCTTCTTGGGACATTGTCTTTCTCTGTTATACCCGGCACCTTACTAGGGACAGAGTGCGGGGTATAACATCTCTCTGTCCTCCATCAGCTCACAAGCCCCTCCATGCCTTCCTGGGTCTTCTCTCTTACTGCAGAGCCTGGATTCCTGAAGCCTCTACCCTCATGCAGCCTCTCTACGATGCCCTCAAAACTGAACCATTTACTTTATCTCCTGAAGCCCTTACCAGCTTGTTTGCATTACGACGTACTGTTGTTTCTGCTCCTGCACTGGGCCTTCCCAATTACCAGAAGCCCTTCAAGCTCTTTGTCTACGAAAAGATGGGTCATGCATCTGGTGTTCTCACACAGTCTCATGGGTCTCGTCAGCGTCCAATAGGGTATTACTCCTGTCAGTTGTATCCAGTGGCCAGAGGAGGACCCTCCTGTCTTTGGGCTGTGTTTGCAGCAAGTGCTCTACTGGACAAGACAAATTACCTAATTCTTGGTCACAAGCTTACCATTCTCGCTCCCCATGATATTTCTGCAATACTCAATCAAGTTCAGTCTAAACATCTTTCTACACAGAGACATCTTCATCTCCAAACGACTTTATTGTTACCCGATAATGTCTCTTTACAACGATGTTACGCTTTGAATCCTGACACTCTTCTGCCACTTCCCAAGGGGGTAGTACTACACTATTGGTACAGTCTGGACATAGATCTTGATGTCTTCTTTGATCTGGATGTCCATATGCCCACAGTACCACACGATAAACAGCCATCTCCTCTATGGCATTGCACTTTGTGGTTCAGAGATGTTCCGGGGCCTGACCCTCAGTATGAAGAAGAACTGTTTCAGTTGATTGAAGTACGTCTCACTTTGACAGACATGTTCTGTGATACAAAAGCCAACACTGTGGTTTATGTCTAATTACCCACAGAAGTGTCTCATATGTACCACCATTAGGAGATGGCAGTTCCTCATGTCTCTATTACTAAATCTCCAGATATCTCATGGAAGGAACTTGGTCCATTAGCCAAAGCATGGAGTACAACAGATCAAGACCAATTCTCCACAGAAGGTGTTACCAAGCGAACTGTGAATTGTAAGACTACTGGTTACCCGCAACATCACACAGAAATATGTGAAGATGCCCCTCCCATAGATCCTGACCCAGATGTCCCCCATGACTGTTTTGAACAGATGAAGATGGAAACAACCCATCTTCCCACAGTACATGAAACGGCTTTGCCAGATCCTAACTGCACACTGTTTGTGGATGGCTCCAGATTTGCAGATGAACAAGGAAGATACCACACTGGATTTGCCATAACCACAGTGGATCAGGTACTTCAAGCATCCCCACTTCCCCCGTCCATGTCTGCTCAAGAAACTGAACTAAAAGCTAACTCCTCCCCCACTTCCTTTGTGTAACTAACAGCTCTGTGCCACGTGTAACAAAATGGAGAATCGCTATTAAAGTAACTGTTTCCCCTTCAGCCCCTCTCTGTTCAGTAACTACTCACTCCCCCTCCCATTGTGTAACCAAAATGGAGCTGGAATGTGGGTGGGAGAACTCTGTAATGATGACATTACATCCTGTAGGGTGGGTTTAGACAAGACCCCTTAGACTGTTAAACAATTGTTGAATGTATACTTTGTTAACTGTGACTCTGTACATGACGTATTTCTGCTTTAAAAGGGGCTCCTACTCTGTGGAATAAAGCATTCCTCAGGTTTTTCACTAATCAGAAACTTTGTTTCCGGTGTGAATTACTTCTAGGAAAAGCGTGCACGCAATTAATTAATCAATATAAAAAAGGAGTAGATAGACAAAAAATCAAACGCTTGATTTGATCCAAAACATTAGGTGTAACAGGTTATAGCGTGATCGGGTGTCCGGCCTAGCCGGAGTTTGCGTGGAGGACTACAAGAGTCCATTGCGCTATCAGTCGTGATATAGGGTTATCGTCTGCCAGTGGGTAGCCACATGTTCGCAGTGCCCCTTGGGAAAGTCTTGGGAGTACGGTTATTGTTTGCTAGGGATTTGGGGGGTACTGGGAAGTGGTGCTTGGTGTTGGGCCTGATGGTGCATGTTTGACTGGTCTAGGCGTACTCAATTTTTGCCGTCCTGGGTAGGTCGGGGTCCCCACCCGCATTGCTGGTTATTCAGCGAACCTAGGGTATTAATTCCCAGGTCGTTAGGGGAGAGAGGGTGAGTAGGGACCTTGCGGGTACTTCGTCTGGGAAGGGAGTAAAAAAAGATATTGTGAACCCTTCGTCGGGATAAGCCGCTGTGCTGCTGTCGCGTGTTTCCACATTGCCCTCTGGTTGAATGTGGATTTGTTTTTAAATACATTTTAAACTAATTTTTATCTTTTGCAAATTTGTTTGAAATGTCAACTTGTACATAAAATTAAGTAGGGACTATTTTGTTTTATGTATAATTACTGAAAAGGAAAAAACTGTGAAAATTACTGCTTTCAAGTTTTATAATGTTAACATGATCAAAAAAAAACTATACACTTCACTGTTCTTTTTACGCCCTCCTCATTTGATCAAAACTTGTGTATAGTATGTGTTGGCTGACCTCAGGTTTACTTCCATTTAGTTACAAAAATGTGAATCGGCTTCCCCATGGTGTAACAAGAAAAAAAAGCCCATAGAGTAAATCAGCCTTTAATTTGCATAACAAAAATATGCATGATGTTGCTTTATAATCTCTCCCTCCCCCCCAAAAAAATAAAAAAACAAAGAAAAAAATACTAAATATATAGACACAAGCAGGAGAATTGTACTATGTCAAAGCAAGAGACAAAAAAACTCTTAACAAAAAAATGTTAAAAGGGTCACATTACAATTCTATGAAATAAAAATAAACATTTTCTGGGACACAATGTTAGTTCAGCTGTGTCAATACTCATTAAGAGTCCCTATATGCTGACCCAATGCTCTCTGCTCAATACATAGAGAAGGTTAGAGTCTTTTAACCTTGATGTATAAATAAATTGTTTCTTAACTTACAGACTGTGTTTGGTGACCGGATCCGATTTAACTCTCACTTTCCTGGGACAGAGCGACTTCCGAACACCTGCAGTGTATCACTCCTGAAACCATCCATCCTTGGTAACCCTATTCCACATCAATCCTTTTTAAAATCATTTTTTTAATGTAATTAATATTATTAGATCAATAGTTTTCTTAAGATGTGATTAAAATAAAAAAACAGTTTGTGCCAAACATGTGGTTTGTTTCTGTTACCTCCTGGTTGGCTAGCTCGGTGGAGCTAAACTCGAGAGACAATAAAATTGCCCAGTGCACCTGCCTTGCAAAGACTTTTAATTGAGCTGCATTGGGAAGTGTGTGATTGGATAGCCATAAAAGGTCTGGACGGGGTTAGAAGGGGAGGGCTTGCAAAGGAAGCAGAGAAGAGATCTGCAACTTTTGCAAGCTGTTTTCAGATATACCCCCAATAAAAAAAAAATGTATCATTGAATATTTAAAAAAATGTACAATTAAATGTTTCCTTCTGGATATATATACTAAATTGTTAAACAAATATGACTTTATTCTTTTCACTTTAAAGCCAAAATTGCAAAACTTGGAAAAAATCTCCAACTCTGCAAGGACGGTTTTATCCTGAATTATGCAATCTATTTACCATTCACTATAATGTGCTCTTCAGTATTCCTGAATAATAATTAATACTACGTACTGTATATACACTTTAATCTCTCTACTTCTAGCTGTCCTTGGAGGCGCACTCACAGATCGTATTCTTTTGTTTACAGACAAATTGTTTTTCTTTACAAAGCATTTGCCGCATACTGTGTTGATAATGATCATTGCATACCTGATAGTAACTGAGTGTACTAAATGAAAAACACTGATTTGCATTCTAGAAGTATTTCAAAGAACTGAATGTGCATCAGTCCACTTGAAGAACATTAGCTTAAAGGTATTCCTTCTCATCAGGGCCACCATCAGGGGAGCGGCGAAACTGCCGCACGTGCATCTGCACCTGGGCCCATCAGGTGGCCCAAGCATTTAGAGCCACACGTTGAGCCCTATATCTACAGGGGTCGGTCAGCGCTGTAATTGCGCAATCGGGCCCCTTTAAAAAATTGCGGCCAGTCACTTCCTCACAGCTTACTCCGCGCAGGGGGAGAGGGAGAGCAGAGCAGAGGACAAGACACCAGAGGCATCCGCTCCCATCATCCCCAGCCACCCTCCTGGAACTTAAAGGGAAGAGGAGGGTGGCTGATAAATGAGGGATTTGTCTATATATGTATGTGTCTGCATGTATGTATGTATGCCTGTTTGTCAGTATGTCTGTGTTTGCCTTTTCTAACTTTGCTGGTTCGCATTCTCTTACCTCTGTATTTGTGATACTACACAAGGACGCTCTGTTTTATGCTGTGTCTTATTTTCTCTTTTCAATGAAATGTATTTGCATTCTACCAATGACAGAATAAAATTTAAGTCCTTATGTAGAAACAAGTCAAATGCATTTTGTATACCTTTTCCTGTTTTAGAAATATGTAGGCATTGTGAAAGTGATCTAGGCCAAGAGATAAATGATGGGGTTGGAGATGGATTTTTAATCTCTTCAAGTGTCTCTCTCAATGGACACATTCATGGACATGAAGTGAGAAAATACACCTGCTTTACTGCTACAATGAGAGAGGCTACTTGAAACGTCATACATACACACATGACATGTCAGTATGCATGTATGTGTGTGTATGTATGTCAGTATGTGTGTATGTCTGTATCTATGTCAGTATGCATGTATGTCAGTATGTATGTCTGTGTGTCTGTCAGTATGAATATATGTCTGTGTGTGTGTGTGTCAGTATGTATATATCTATCTATATATATATATATATATATATATATATATATCAGTATGCATGTATGTCTGTGTGTGTGTATGTCTGTATGTATCTGTGTATGTATATATATGTGTGTGTGTGTGTGTATGTGTCTATGTCTGTATGTATGTATGCCAGTATGTATTTATGTGTATGTCAGTTTGTATGTATGTCTGTTTGTCAGTATGTATGTATGTATGTCTGTTTGTGTCAGTATGTGAGTATGTATGTATGTATGTCAGTGTGTGTGTCTGTATGTCAGTGAGTGTGTGTGTATCTGTATCTCCTTATGCATGTGTATGTGTATATGTGTGTATGTCTGTTTAAGCATTTGTGTCTGTTAGTATGTGTGTGTCTTTCTGCGTGTGTGTCTGTGTATTCTTGTGGGCGGGATTTGAAGGCGGGCACCCGGGGGCCCAGACCTTGAGCTTTGTTAGGGGTCCCACAATTTCTGATGGCGACCCTGCTTCTCATGTCTCATGGCATGTTTGATCATTGCTGAACCTTATTGTTTTGCATTTGACAGGTCGTGAGTGGTTGTCTCAATGTCGCCATCTTCTGGCTAGTGTTGGAGCTGCTTGTCATTCTGACCGAGGAGACCGGTAAAGCATGAACAATGTTTTCAAATTGTTGCACCAAAAGTACACTTGATTCTGGAGCACGAACAATGTTTTCAAATTGTTGCTTCAAAAGCGCATTTGATTCTGGAAACAGCTGGAAAAACCGTATTTGTTGATTTTTTTTTTGATTTTTTTTTAAACTTTATTATTGTAACTTATAAACATAGCAAATTACTGCAAGCTGATCGATCTAGCACTAAAAAAAAACACAGGAACATTGTTAGCAGTGGTATAAACCCCTGGAAGTAGAGATCCTGATATGTGTTTGTTGCAGAGAATATCACTTAACACTTCATGACTTCCTCTTACATGCATAAGCTTTTGAAATATTGAATTTTTAGAATTGAGTTTTAAGAGCTGGTAGATCTACAGATTCAAATTCCATGTTATGTTGTTTCATGTTTTACCATATTGTTGCCGTAAACATTTTACAAATTTATAAAGGACTAATGAGGTCCACACCAGGATTAATCTCTTAAAATGTGGCTGCTCCCAAAAATTGTTCCTAAAATAGTTATCATAGTGTGGGCCTCTTGTTTGCCCTGTACATTAAATGGTGAGCAACATGGGATTTCCAAAAAATTCAACGATTCATTGAGCTAGTACGAATCCGGTCAGATATTTGTGTAAAATGTTTTGATGTTTCTTCACAGACCGTCTCCTGTGCTCCTGAACAGTGGGGTGCCACTGGTGGCTGCACGTGGGGCAATACGGCTTAGCGTTGGCAGAGAAACCTCTCGGGACGATATCGACATGATCGTGAAAGACCTTGAGCAAGCAGCACAGTGTCATGAAGACAAGGAAACCAAGAAAGGAGACATATTGGATACAGAGAATCTCATTGCACAGTAGGGTGTGGTGATTGTAAATCTATGAATGAAAATAGGAAGTACGTACAAGGACAAATATTTCAGGGAAACACAAATTAACTGTTTTTTTTGTTTGTTTGTTTGTTTTTTAAATTATGATATTTTTGGACCAAAGAGAATGGAAAAAAGAAAAAAAAAAGATGGAAGCCCCCTTTAAGTTAAAAAATGAAAACTCACATATTCAGGACATAATTAAACATGGGGAAATTTGAGTAAAGTAATATCAGGAACAAATGACTTAGTCCAGAATAGATTCTTGCAAACACTGAGCACTGGATTTAGGCACTCATGTAAACAGGTCCTGAGCAAGATCAGGGTAAAGGTCAGAAGATCATTAGTCCCTAGATCACACGTGAAGTTATGCACTTAATTAAAGCTGTCTCTTGCTAAATAAAACGTGTGTGGGAGAGAAAGCTGTACACTTTTTATTGCATATTGTTCTGCCTTAAATATTTTAATGCAAATATTGCTGTATCTGCTTTTATGTAATGCTATATTTTCAAGGTAATAATGTGCTCTACTAACCCAGCGAGTCCCATGGTACAGAATGCCATATTTCCTTTCACAGGTGATTAAGTAGGCACATGAGTGGAGAGTTCTGGGTAAGAATTTCAGACATTTATCAGCTGGTGAAATGAAAACTGGTTTGGTATTAAATGTAGATAGCATGTAACAGGTTAGTAGGAATAAATTAAAATACTACAATTTGCAAAGAATACACGTTTTTATATTCTGTATCAGTATTAAAATCTGTTGTAATTATTTTTTGTATTTTGTATGTTTTATCTCCTATGTGTCAAACACTACTAATGAGCATGTTTCTAAAATTAAATCTTTGTTTCGCCAGGTCAGAAGCATTTTATATTTTGTGATGGACACTCACAGGAGACTTTACTCCTCACTCTGAAAGGGATACATTATTTAACAAACTGTATATTACTAGAGTGTATTTTGAAAAGACTCTGTAAGTACATTTATTATTTACATGCAAACTTGCGAACACGCCTTATTAGACCGAAGCCATAAACCACACAGAAATTTCCTTTAGCCATAAGACAATAACAGGTAACAGACACTGTACATTTCCTTAATCATTAATGGACATTAGAACTATATTGATGTCCTTGTATCGAAGGACATTACACCTGTGCGAGCCAGGCTCACTAAGGTGTTTGCTGTTAATCATTTTGTCTTGGAAGTAATAGCGATAATTCCATGGATACCTGTTTAGCAATGGCATGCATTCTCCATAGTCCTTACTTACATAAATTAAACACAAGGGCATTTTTTATCACTGGAAATAATTAACAAATGGGTCAAACAGCAAATCGGTGAACGATTTTACAAGCAACTACCTTTTCTCCTATTATATAGATTTTTTTTGATTGTTTTTAGCAAAACTTTTTTTTCCGTCTTTTCATAAGCAATATAATACAAACAAATGACAAATATTAGACAAAATATTGTCCAAAGGGGGATTAATAAAGTATACAATTAAATAAAATTCAAAATTTCAGTTGCAAAATTCTAAATACTCGGCAGTGTTTTTTTTATTTTTTATATTTTTTATTTTTGTTGTGCACAAAATGAACAAACAGCCTCAGTACGCCACAACAGAGGTATCAAGGTATAGAGGAATACAATACGGAAGACAAATTGTGATGTTTGAAATTTAGGCACCTTTTTTGTTATTAGGTAAAGATCGCTAAATCAGGATAGTGAGTTCAAGAGTGATGTGTTAAATAAAGTGATCTAACGTTTAGTGTTAGGTAGATCATGAGTAGTCAAATATGTGTTCTGTAGCTTATACATTAATTATAAGAACTGCGAGCTGAGTGTAACACATTTGCTAGGCAAGAAGAGTTTAACAAACCACTGGTAATTATACTGCCCTGCCAAGACTGAGTATGTAAGGTGAGCATGTTAATCTGATAGAAAAACAAAGGCATAAATGAAAGGAGAATACATGAGTTAATGCAGATAACCAAATGAGTATTCAGGTGAGGTGGCAGCTATGGCTGCTCTGGTAAATTAGGCCCGGGTGGATATGGTAAGTCCCTGTTCAGCCGACTCCTGACATCGGGAAGCACAGGCAATCTGCTTAACAGTCCTGTGCGAGCATTCAGGCTGTTGTCGGAGTTGCTCACTTTAACATCTCCATGCTCTTTCAAGGCTCGATTTCCCCTCACTGGGGGCCCGTTGGTTCTCAGGCATGTATTGCTTCGCCCTCCGTGGCCTGTTCGAGGATTGCTTCCATGGCTCTTACGTCTTTGCTTCCGTGCCCGCTGTTGAGCGGTCAGCCCGGTTGTGACTCTTGGGCAAGGTTGGTCTGTGGGTAGCTGAACAGAGGTCTGAACTGGCTTGGTATCCAGAGGGGGCATTCTCGCCCTTTGCTTGTTGTTGCGTACAGTTTTCCCCGTAGCTCCACAGCGGGTTGAGATCTCACAAGCTTGTATCCGCTCCAGAAAGCACCGAAAGATTTCTTCCAGGCACTGGAAGCAGAGTTTAGTGTTGCCATGGTAAGCCTCTTGGGATTCATTCAGTGTGCTCAGAGGATGCTCACCCGCCATTTTGTGTCTTTGAGGTGAGCCCCTGTGATATCACGGGACTAGCGGTAGGGAGGGCTGAGGCAGTCGTTGGTTGTCCAGTGGGGACCGGGATAACCTCCACCGGTCCAAAGGGGGGGAGGTCCGTTACGTCCCACAGGGATCTCAGGGGCGAGAAGAGCGACCGCCTCTCCTCTACCCCTTATGAGTAGGCCACAACGGTGCTTGACGGGTTCTTGGCGGCGTAGAAGCTTACGAGACGTCTCAAATCGATCGCCTGTGTACCCACAGTGTGGGTGGTGTAATTTGAGGAGCAGTGTGGCTTAAAGGACCACTATAGTGCCAGGAAAACATACTCGTTTTCCTGGCACTATAGTGCCCTGAGGGTGCCCCCACCCTCAGGGTCCCACTCCCGCCAGGCTCTGGGGAGAGGAAAGGGGTTAAACTTACCTTTTTTCCAGCGCCGGGCGGGGAGCTCTCCGCCTCCGATCCTCCTCTTCGGCTGAATTCGCATGCACGGCAGGAGCTGCGTGCGCATTCAGCCAGTCTCATAGGAAAGCATTTATAATGCTTTCCTATGGACGCTGGCGTCTTCTCACTGTGATTTTCACAGTGAGAAGCACGCAAACGCTTCTAGCGTCTGTCAATGAGACAGCCACTAGAGGTTTTAGAGTCTGGATTAACCCATTTATAAACATAGCAGTTTCTCTGAAACTGCTATGTTTATAAAACAAAAAAAGGGTTAATCCTAGAGAGACATGGCCACCAGACCACTTCATTAAGCTGAAGTGGTCTGGGTGCCTAGAGTGGTCCTTTAAGAACCGCGGTAGTTTTGCAGATAATCACGATTCCTGCGGGAGCTCGTGCTGCACACGTGTCTGATCAGCTCCCCAGTCAGGCTCTGCGCCCCCCTCGGCAGTGTTTTATATATAAATGTATTCTGATGATCAAATAATGCCGGGTTATCATTCCAGGGACAGCAAAACACAGATCCAAGACAAGATTGTCAATTATAATGTTGGGTCAGAAGTGCAGGTGCAGCCCATCAGGTGGTCCATGCAGTTAGGGCCAACCGATGGGTATTGCTGAAAGGGCCCAGTCTGTTGCCCTTTAAGAGGTCACGTACAATTTATATGGAGAGCAACACGAGAGTGAGGAAGAGATGGCAGTACAGGGGTGAGCTGCTGCAGGCACCACTTCATTCAAGCACCAATATTATACACAAAAGCACACCTGCATTTAAAAGCCAACCCTGCAATCAAATGAAAACATTACATACAAACACACCTCTGTATTACAACGCTGAAATTATATACAAACACCCCTTCATTTAAACACCAGCACTACACTCAAAAACATCTGCATTTAAAAGCCAACACTACATACAAACACACACACACCGTGCATTCAAATTACAAACACTACACACAAGCACACAACTGCAATCAAATGGCAACAGTACATACAAATACTACCCTACATGCACACACAAACTCTTTACAAAAACATGACTACATTCAAACGCACAAACACTGTTCACAAATACAACCCTCCAAAGATAGGCAAATGGTAAATCCAGCTGGCATAGCATCACTGTAGTTGTACAAAAGAAGGATCTACCTTTTTGGTACTCTTGTGCTAGAGGGGACCCAAAATTGTATTGCACAGGGACACTCTGAATGAATTTTTACGCTGCAGAGGTGTAAGCAGGGATACTACATTTTGTGAAAGAATAAAATAGGGGATGCAGTCAAGGATGGCTGTGACGTGCTGCATTGCAAAAATAACTTGAATTTACATTATACCATAATAAACGTAGGGAAGATAACACTTGAAAGAAAAAAGGCAGTATCAATTCTTATGGGTGCATTAATATCCTTCGGCACTCCAGATATTGCGAACTACATCTCCCCTGGTGTTTTGCCAGTATTAAGGCTGTAAAAGCATTATGGGAGAAGTAGTTTGACACCTTTGGAGTGCCGAAGGTTCACATCCACCGGTATAGACCATGTAGAGTGACAATACCTTAAATTATTTCTATCTTGAGTGTGCAGTTGGCCATAAATGTTAAGCCCATATATTTATTTCTAAGCATATCATATACAGTTGCAAGAAAAAGTGTGTGAACCCTTTGGAATGATATGGATTTCTGCACAAATTGGTCATAAAATGTGATCTGATCATAATCTAAGTCACAACAATAGACAATTACAGTCTGCTTAAACTAATAACACACAAAGAATGAAATGTTGCCATGTTTTTATTGAACACACCATGTAAACATTCACAGTGGATCATCTCCAGAACCTTATGGAAAGCTACATGACACGGATACATTTAAGAGTCTTACAGATATTTTCTACACTATTATTGTTTAGTTTTGTATAGTGTTCTATGCCACTGACAGACATGTAATGAATATTTAAAAACAGGGAGTCCTAAATTAACTTTGCTTCCATGTTTGGATTTCGTTTTAATTGTAGTCACAGATCACCATATCGACATTGTACACTATATATGTAAAGGGAGAGGGTTTTCTATTTATTTATTTATATATTGCTTGTTGGTATGGAGTCTTTTTGGACCATGAGCATGTATTGGCAGAACAATGAAGCACAATGAAAGCACTTGTCCCTACTATATCTGGGCAACCTGGGGGATCAAGGTGGCTATCCCTTCCTTCGTATAAATGGAAGGTGTACACATAGCCACTGCCACTTTCACACAACTTATAAAATTTGATCCCATATCGGGATCTTTTGGATGGGATGTACTGTTTAAACCTCAGTCTTACCTTAAACTTCATGAGGCACTCGTCAATAGAGATATGTTTTTGCAGGGTATAAATAGTGGCAAATATTTTGTTAAAGTGGTCAATTAGAGGGTATATTTTATATGGAGGATCATACTGCTGGCAGTGATCAATCAGCAGGGAAAGGGATATTTTTTTTAATTTTTTTTTTTAAAGAAGGGTAAAGGGGATTTGGAACCTTTTCTGACACAATTTATTCTCTTCAGGAACACAAAGTAACAACGTCCTATCTCTCTCCACTTCAAAAACCCACAAGAGGTGGAGGGAGGCGGATCTGATATTCCAGCAGCATTGTGACTCGCTGTCACAGTGATCACATGGGCTGGGACATCGCAATTTGATGTTGCTGTTTTTCCCCAGACTGAGAGGCACCCAGCAACAGTGTTAACCCCGCGATCGCCAGCACCCTGGCAATCTGGGGTTAATTTTAGCGCATGACGGACTGAATCAGTCATCCGGCGTTAAGTGTTTCCCCAGCATGACGAACCCAGTCCGTCATTCATCATTACGGGGTTAAATTACTTTTGTTTCTGTTTATGCAGCACTAACCACACCTCCGCTGGCTGTGACTGACACAACCTGCATGAAAATTTTTTCACCTAGATGTAACTTCATTTAAACGTTTTAATGTACTGCTCTTTAAATTGAACTTTAGTTACATAGAGCAGGACCTGCATGGTTTGGCAAGCTATTAACAGAGCAGGAAATACAAAATTCTAAACTAAATAGAATTTACAATAAAAGATGTATAAACATAGATTACTCTTTACAGGAAGTGTTTAGGAAGTCACATGCAAGAAGGTGTGACCAGGGCTGCATAAATGACAACAAAAGTGATTTAACTCCTAAATGGCAGAGAATTGGGGAGTGAGACTGCAGGGACATGATCTACACACCATCACTGCTTTATTAAGCTGCTGTTGTTTTGGTGACTATAGTGTCCCTTTAAATATTGTCCCCTTATCTTGCTGCAGGGTTAGTATGACTTTGCAATTTGAACTCTCTGTGCAGTTGTGAAAGTGGGACTATATATTTAGATTCTGCACACTCAAGAGTCTGATAAGATAGCAGACGAGAGGCAGAATACCTTAATGCAGATTTAAGCAATCTGCACACATTATGAATGCATAGTGCTAAACCACAAACAGCAATTTAATCCTTGGATGTATTAGTATTGCATTGGCCCTCACATTTACTGACTGTGCATTATTTCTAAAGCACTAACATTCTCTATAGAGCTGTGGGTTTGGCAATGATATCCCGTGCTGTAAGTAAGAAACCACTATGTACTGAACTAAGCAGTCTGAGTAAGGCACGTTTTATCAGTTCATTATCTGCAGTTGTCATTTGGTTGTCAGGGCAACTCTAAAACAAGGCTTAGCATAGGAAAGTGTGACCACTTACAGATACCGTAGCATTGGCTCCTCCAGTTACACAGCTGATGCACTTCATATATTTATATAGAAATAACATGCATTATGTGATTATCTGTGTATTAGCTAGACACTCTACAACTTGCTACGGATAGATCATTTCAGCAATAACTGACATTACATGGAACAGAGAAACTGATACTGCATAGAGTCTCGAAGGCCACTCTTATCTATGTCTTTCTATTCTCTCATAGAACAGACCTGACCACAATTTTCTTTGTTAATGGATCCGTGAATTTATCTGCCAAAACAAGGCAAGAGAAACTGTAGTGAGATTTCTGTTATATTTAAGGAAAAAAATTATCTTTTGTTGGTCACCAAAACGCATGAAGTTATGATATAAAACCAAACCATTTAAATTTGGTTAACAAATGCTAAATGAAAACCTGATATAAGTATATAAGTATACAAATGTATATCTATATGAGGAGAAGTGGGAGGTCATCTACCATCTCGGAGAGGATTATATGAAACATTAGGAATAAGTCCATAATATTTTAGTAGGGGTACTCACTCTTTTTTTTTTTTTTAAATAAGGGAATTACTCATTTGCACAGAACTGGCACAAACGTGGAAGCAAACATGACAATTTTTATGCACAACCTTTGTAGTTTTCAAAATAAAATGTCAGTTGTACCAATGTGGCAGCACAGACAATGAGGGCTACGTTTGTTGCAAGATGGGAAAGTAATGTTTATTGCTGAGAGACGATCTATAGATGAGTTTGTTATAGTGCCGTTCATAGTGACAACATCTCTAAAGAGCAGAATCCTCGTCTACGCCCACAAAACAAACAATCTCTTAATGTACTGCACTTACAGGAATATCTATAATCATTTCTTTTTTTTTTTTTTATCATCTCAAGAATACTCATAAATGAAACTGGAAATCGTATGCCTTAAAATATAATAATAGGAAAAAAACACAAAGATAATTCTTTTTTTTCTGATTAGCAGTAGGTCGCAGGTTCTAATCCACCTCCTGTGAGTTTCCATGCAATCATTGCTTTCAAATGTTTTCTGCTAAATCAGCTGAGGGCACTGCTGCAAACTCTTCCAGTTGCAATGGGTAGTAAGAATGATGTATCTATCATATGCTGCAAGGGTTTCTTTGGATTGCAGCTGTTCTACAGTTCTTAACAATGACCATTTCTGTGTGCTTTTTCAGAAGAGCTTAGACAGCACATCTGTAAAACCCTGTTTGCCTTGTGTCTAGTTTGGTTGTTTCTCGTCCAGTATTATTTCAACCTATATTTTAAAGGAATAATCCACTGTCCATATACAAAATAAATAAAAAATCACTGGTTATTAGATATACCCCCCAACAAAAACTTTATATGTTATATGTAAAAACAGCTTGCAAAAGCTGCATATCTCTTGTCTGCAGCCTTTGCAAGCCCTCCTCTTCTAATCCCGCCCAGACCTTTTGGGGCTGTCCAATCACAGACTAACTAATGCAGCTCAATGAGAAATATTTGCAGGGCAGGTGCTCTGAGCAATTGCTGCCACTTGAGTTTAGCTCAACTGAGCTAACAAAACCAGGAAGTATCATGACCTGTTGTATGCTTAAAAGCAAAGAGGGTGTAACCAGGTTAATTTATACCAGTGCCAATTTCTATTGAAATCTGCACTTGTTGCAAAATGAAAAAAAGAGGACACACTCTTCACAGATAAAATTTTTCACCAAGCTAAAGTGCTTTAGGGGTCTGGAATGTCCATTTAAATGAATGATCATTAGCAACTGTTTGGTATAATTGATTCATGCATCTGATTAGATGCCTACAAAATCCCTGACTTTGTACAAGTGTGCCTAGAAGAACTGATGCCATTTTGAAGGCAAAGGGAGGTTCCACCAAACATTGATTTGATTTAATTTTTTCTTCTGTTCACTCACTTTGCATTTTGTTCATTGCTAAAAAAATAAACTAATAACATTTACATTTTGCACAGTAGAATATATAAAAATAAGTAAGAGTATACATTTAAAGGGACACTGTAGGAACCCAGACCACTTCTGCCCATTGGAGTGGTCTGGGTGCCTTGCCCCTCTCCCCTTAGCCTTGTTAGTCAAAACACTGCAGTTTTGAAAAAAACCCACAGTGTTTTGATTAAAGGGCTAATCCAACCTCTAGTTGCTGTCTCTCAGACAGCCGCTCGATGGTGCTTCCGTGTTCTTAGAGCGCAAAAGTGTTTTAAATGACGTTCAACGTCCCCACGCTATGAGGAGGTCTAATGTGCGCGCAAGTGTGAGCGGAGCTGAGCCAGTGCAGAGGGACATCGACGCTGGACCTAGGTAAGTGACTGAAGGGCTTTTTAACCCCATCAGTGCCACGAGAGGGGGCCTTGACAGAAAGGGAAACTATAGTGCCAGAAAAACTGGTTTGTTTTCCTGACACTATAGTTTCCCTTTTATACCTGTAGTATGCACTACTATAACTATCTATGATATTTTTGGTCAGTGCTAACCAAACTAGTTTTTACTCAATATGCATTTATATGGACTCTTGTAGACTCTTATTGCAGTGTGTGTTGTGTATAATAATTTCACATATGTATGATCATTTATAGATCGTTAGGAGACAGGATGCCTAATGACCACTACTATCTACTCCAGCAGGTTTTTTTGTTTGCTCTTGATTGTGTCTAATTGAACTTTAATATACATTTAGAGATGCACAGTTTAAAAATACGCTCAGTGTAACCAGGACCAGCCTCCTGGAACATATAAACAGGCTCAAAGTGATAAGGGGTCAGATTTCTGGTGAGCTGCCAAATTTCCAAGTTAAATATTAATGGGAACAAAATCACTGCGAGAGACGGTGACTGAATCTCTGTGCACTTGGTCTTTCGGTGTGTCTCACCTTTAAGGTTAACTAGCTAGCTATTTTTCTGTCTATTTCTTTAACTGTCTATCGGTTCATTTAAAAAAGAAGAAAAGACCATTTTTGAGCACTTGGAGAAATATATTGGACCTCACTTCCTTTCAGTGCGGCCGTGCATGTGGAGAGGCTGCACCTTGTAAAGGGTCTGTACCATCACCCGATTCCGCAATGAGGTGCCCAGCCGAACCACTTAACATTACAGGGACCCTTGCTGATCCTAAAGCATGACTATTCCCCTTATCAGATTATGGGCTGTATCCTTCTGATGATGGTCCTGCTGCCCTGAACCCTCTCCTTACATGCAGTGTCTCCCTTTCTCCCCCAACTCCCTCTCACACCTTCATCTTCCTCTCTCCCATCCAGCTCCATCTTCACTTCTCCCCCCTGAGCTCTATATCACTTTCTCCCCTCCACCTTCCTCTCTCATACACAACTCCATCTCCCTCTTTCCCCCTAGCTCCATCCTCCCCTCTCACCCAGCAAGCTTCACCTCCCCCTCAGCTCCATCATTCTCTCTCCCCTCCTTCCGCATCAAACCTTTAAGTTCCATCTATCTCTCCCACCCAGCTCCATCTCTCTCTCTCTTTCCCACCAAGCTCCAAATCCCTCTCTCACACCCAGCTCTATCTCCCACTTTCCCATCCAGCTCCATCTCCCTCTCTCCCACCCAGCTCCATATCCCTCTCTCACACCCACCTCCATCTCTTTCCCACCCAGCTCCATCTCTCTCTCTTTCCCACCCAGCTCCATATCCCTTTCTCACACCCAGCTCCATCTCCCTCTCTCCCACCCAGCTCCATCTCTCTCTCCATCTCTATCTCCACCCAGCTCCATTCCCTTTCTCACACCCAGCTCCATCTCCCTCTCTCCCACCCAGCTCCATCTCCCTCTCTCCCACCCAGCTCCATCTCCCTCTCTCACACATCAGCTCTATCTCCCTCTCTCACACATCAGCTCTATCTCCCTCTTTTCCACCCAGCATCATTTCCCTCTCTTCCACCCAGCTCCATTTCCCTCTCTCCCACCCAGCTCCATCTCTCTTTTTTCCCCAGGCTTTCCTCTCTCCTCCCATCCCCGTTTGTCTCTCTCCCCCAGCACAATAACTTGTTAGGCCATTTACCCAGGTGGCCCGGTGCTACTGACTCCTGGGAGCTGCATCACATTCTCCATCTCTCCAGAAGAGAGCAGCTCTCATTCAGTGTGATTAAGTCTTAATGAGGGAGGGGGTGTGGGTGTTAAAATGGCATTTCCTACTTCCTCCCTCAGTAGCTTCCTGATGTATGGCTTTACGTAGTGACTGGTGCAGACAAGCAAATACAGACCAGCTCCTTCACATATACAATCATCACCCATCACAATTAGTGCAGGCAGTATCTTAATCCTCAGGGACCACCTGCAATAGTATTTGATGCTCGACAGCTATGCTGGTGCACTCTTTTTCTCCCCCAAATCTGTGGTAAGTGGATGGTTGATGTTGCTCGTCTCACTTACTAATAGTGGCCAAGCCCTCTGGTTGTGGCCCTCTAATGCCTGCCCAATGCTACAGGCTCTGCTCTCAGGTTAGGTGAGTTAGATGGCTGCGAGGCCTCAATCAGAGAAGACTTTGAAGTCTGCCTCAGTCATCTAATTATTGAGCCGCCTGTGGTGAGCTATGAGTATTCAGCTCCATAGTGCCTTTGAGCAGTACAGAGAAATGATTCTCAAACCAGTACTCAAGATAAATGATTCATGGTTTCTAGATTATTCAATTGTGTTCTGGGGTTACTTGTAGAATGTAGCCCATGTACCAGCGTAGCTAAGGGGAGTGGGCCTTGACATTGCTAGGAGACACGCATATAGTGACGTGGGTGTATGTGATTGGTAACAAAATAGTATTGTGGGTGGAATTAATAGGCCATATGTAAAGAGACCATTTTAGATTAAGGGGACATTTTAATTAAGCTGCCCTTACCTGTTGTTGTCCCACCCTCCCTCCCTTTAATTTCTCCCGTTTTGGTCACGGCTGTGGGGGATGGAGAGAAAAGTTGGGGGGTAGGTCGGATTGATATGGGATAATATGTTTAGTTTAGGGAAAATAGGTAGGGCTTTGGACTGGTTTGGTAGGTTCGTCCTCGTTGCAACTGTTGCACCGCACTGGGGCCCGCATTCCCTTAGGGGCCCATCGGGTGGCCAATGCATTTAGCACCACCCGATAGGCTTCACTGACCAGGGAAGAAGGAAATTGGTTTTGAGCTGCACCCTGATTTTTGTAAGTATATAAACAATTATGTTATTCAAGACAGATATCAGATATCAGCAGCAGACCCTCCCTCCCAGACCCTCCCACCTCCTGGACAGCTCACTAAGAATGCAGCTTCACAATGAATGTAAAATGGATGCTGTCCAGGAGGTTGGAGGGTCTGGGAGGGAGGGTCTGCTGACTGTGAGGTACAGGGTCAAAGTTTACTCAATGATGAGTCCGCGGTGAACCGTTCGCGAACCGTTCGGGACATCACTAGTTAGAAGTAAGAGAAACAAAGAGAAAGAAAGTGTGTGTGTTTGGCATTTACTGCAAAAAGATCCTTTAATAACCTTTAACCCCTTAAGGACCAAACTTCTGGAATAAAAGGGAATCCTGACATGTCACATGCCATGTGTCCTTAAGGGGTTAAAAAAGAACTTTGCTATCTGGAAAGCTGATCAAAGAATGTGAGTGGCAGGATCAGGGCTGCCATCAGAAATGTTGGGGCCCCTGACACAGCTCAAGGTCTGGGCCCCCCGGTGCCTGCACCCGAGTCCGCCCAAAGTGCTGCCCCCCCCCGAATCCGCCCACAGGGATGCAGTGTCTACAGGGCCGGTGCAAGGATTTTTGCCGCCCTAGGCAAAAGTAAAGTTTGCCGCCCCCCCATGTGACATCACAATGCCCCACCCATGTGATCTGCCATGTTAACTAACAGCAGTGCTGCAGTGCCGCCGTGTTTACATTAAAAGGCCTGCAGGGACAGGCTAGACACCAGAACCACTACATTAAGCTGCAGTGGTTCTGGGGACTATAGTGTCCCTTTAATGTGAGGTAAATTAGAGATTAGTGCCACGAATAATATACTAGATTGCCTACTTACAACCAGATGAGGATGATGAAGATGGGCTCTAGCTGCCGTCTGGCTCCACTGGTCTGGTGTACAACAGGCTCTCTGGAGGCGGTTTGTAACTGGTCACAAAAATCACTGTTCTGGGAGAACGGGAAGCAGCTCCATTTTTTTGAGGGCCCTTTACACAGCTCAATGTCTGGGTCCCAGGGTCCACCTTCATGTTCCACCAATGAGTTTGTTCACAGGGAGTGGAGTGTGTGTGTGGGGGGGATGTCCTGATGTGTGTAAGGAATGCATTGTGTGAATCTGTGTAAGGGCTGCAAGATGAGTTTGTGTATGTATGGGATGCAGTGTGTGCGTCTGTAAGGGATGCATTGAGTGTGTGTAGGGGGTGCATTGTGTGTTGCTGTGTGTAAGGGATGCATTGCTTGTGTACATGTATCTGTGTGTAATGCATTGTGTGTTTTTCTGTGTGCAAGGGGTGCATTGTGTGTGATGGATGTCAATCTCTCCCCCTCCCGGTCAATTTCCTTCTCCCCCCTCTCCCTCCAATTTCCTTCTTCTCCCCCTCCCTCTCCAATTTCCTTCTTCCCCCCTCCAATTTCCTTCTTCTCCTCCTCCCTCTCATTTCCTTCCTCTCCCCGTCTCTCAAATTTCCTTCCTCTCCCCCCGTCCCTCAAATTTCCTTCCTCTCCCCCGTCCTCAAATTTCCTTCCTCTCTCCCTCCCTCAAATTTCCTTCCTCTCTCCCTGCCTCAAATTTCCTTCCTCTCCCCCCTCCCTCCCTCAAATTCCATTCCTCTCCCCCATCAAATTTCATTCCTCTCCCCCCCCTCAAATTTCATTTCCTTTCCCCCCCATTTTCAGACAGCTTCCTCCCCCCTCTCCTCAAGGTTTCCTTCCCCCCTCCCATTTCATTTCCTTCTCCTTCCCCCCTCCCATTTGTTTCCCCCCCATTTCATTTCCTTCTCCTTCCCCTCCCATTTCATTTCCTTCCCCCCCCATTTCATTCCTTCTCCTCCCCCCATTCATTCCTTCCCCATTTCAATTCCTTCCCCCCCATTTCATTCCTTCTCCTCCCCCCTCCCATTCATTCCTTCTCCCCTCCCGACATTCCTTCTCCCTCCCCTCCATTTCATTCCTTCTCCTTCCCCTCCATTTCATTCCTTCTCCTTCCCAATTTTCATTCCTTCCCCTCCATTTCATTCCTTCTCCTTCCCCCCTCCCATTCATTCCTTCTCCTCCCCCCCCTCCCATTTTATTCCTTCCCCATTTCATTTCCTTCTCCTTCCCCCCCTCCATTTCATTCCTTCTCCCCTCCATTTCGTTCTTCTCCCCTCCCATTTCATTCCTTCTCCTCCCATTTCATTCCTTCTCCTCCCCATCCCATTTTCATTCCTTCCTCCCTTCCCCCTCCATTCATTCCTTCTCCTCCCCATTTCATTCCTTCCCCCCATTTCATTTCCTTCTCCTTCCCCACTCCCATTTCATTCCTTCTCCTTCCCCCCTCCATTTCATTCCTTCTCTCCCCTCCCATTTCATTCCTTCTCCTGCCCCTCCATTCATTCCTTCTCCTCCCCTCCCATTTCATTCCTTCTCATCCACCCTCATTTCATTCCTTCTCCCTCCCCCTCCCATTTCATTCCTTCTCCTCCCCTCCATTCATTCTTCTCCTTCCCCCATTTCATTCCTTCTCCTTCCCCCTATTTCATTCCTTCCCCCCTCCCATTTCATTCCTTCCCCCTCCCATTTCATTCCTAACCCCCACTCCCTCGAATTTCATTCCTCCTACCCCCCCTGACACTGGCGGCGGGCGGGCAGGCCGGCGCGCGAGGGAGCACTTTCTGAGTGCTTCCTCTTCAGCTCCCTCGCGCGCCGCGTACTGATGCCGGAGCCGGAAGATGACGTCATCTTCCGGCTCCGGCATCAGTACGGTGCGCGAGGGAGCTGAAGAGGAAGCACACAGAGAGTGCTCCCTCGCGCGCCCGCCGGGTGTCAGTAGGGCCAGCCTTGGGGGGGCCCTGACGTGGCCGCCTCCTGGGCCCCCCAGGAGAAGAGGCTGGCCCTGTGGGTACATACCGGGGTCGCAGGACCCCCTGCGACCCGGTATGTACCCACTGAATGAGGGGCCCGGACGACCTGAGCAGTCCGGGCCCCCCAGGACCGCCGGGCCCATGACAACCGTTACGGTTGTCATGCCCTGATGGCGGCCCTGCATACCGGGGTCGCAGGACCCCCTGCGACCCGGTATGTACCCACTGAATGTGGGGCCCGGACGACCTGAGCAGTCCGGGCCCCCCAGGACCGCCGGGCCCATGACAACCGTTACGGTTGTCATGCCCTGATGGCGGCCCTGGGCAGGATCATTAACAAAACAAGCAGATATGTTAACATGGGTTCCACAACCCAAAATTATGTCTACAAGTAGGGAGTAGTGTAGACATGATGGTGAATAGAGGTGTTTAAATAATATCATCATATATAACTAGTGTGTTTAGCACACGACAACAGTAGGAAAAGTTGTTACGAGTGTGTTAAGTAAATTAGAATGTACAATTGCTTCCAGTCTCTGCGTGACTAGTTCACAGACTATCTGATTCTAACTGACATAGACCTCTTATGCAGTGTTTACCGAACCAGTCCTCAGTACCCACCAACAATTCAGGTTTTGCCAGTATCTCCACTGGAATAGAACAGTGAAATACATAATTCCTGGACTGTTGGTGGATCACGAGGACTGGTTTGGGAATAAGTAGTGATGTCCCGAACGGTTCGCCACGAACGGTTCTCCGCGGACTCATCATTGAGTAAACTTTGACCCTGTACCTCACAGTCAGCAGACACATTCCAGCCAATCAGCAGCAGACCCTCCCTCCCAGACCCTCCCACCTCCTGGACAGCTCACTAAAAATGCAGCTTCACAATGAATGTAAAATGAATGCTGTCCAGGAGGAGGGAGGGTCTGCTGCTGATTGGCTGGAATGTGTCTGCTGACTGTGAGATACAGGGTCAAAGTTTACTCAATTATGAGTCCGCGGCGAACCGTTCGGGACATCACTAGGAATAAGTATTATGTAGTGTCAGTCACCTGCAAGTAATGTGCATATGTTAATATATACACATCTGTTCTACAGGGCTTCTTGTAAATAAGGATAACTATTCATTCACGCTTCACAGAGCCTTTGGATAATGACATATTTGAAATGTAGGACACTCCATGTAGTACTTAAAGGATTAAGCCATCAGACTTGTGACTATCTGTGTGTCAGGGACATATTGCTTTTCCTGTAACACTTTCATCTGTGCCAGTCTTTCCCTCTATCTGTCATTTCCATGTTAGCCCTGGGAATCCTTTATTTCCTGCGACCTTTGGCCAAGGTGCTTGCTGTGAGTCTCATTTCATTAATGAGCAGAATGTGACACGGATCTTGCCGTGTAGTTACATGATCTCTCTGTCTATTGGTGCAGTTTTGTTTTTTGTATTATAATAAGTGATGGCGAGGAGGAGAGGGAGGCAGTTGAGCAAATGAGCAGGACAATAAGCTCAGGTAAAATATCCCACATGCAAGAAGCCCAGCTCTCCCTCCGCCTTTATCTAGACACCCTACACCCGAGCTCCCTTCCTCCCTATTAAAGTACATCTCCGGTATTGTTGCCACATGATCCCTCTCCTGTGTCTTCTCAAGCAGTCAGGGCAACCAAGAGGTGTAATAGCAGCAGGGCTACAGACAGGTGTGTTAAGGAGAGATAGGTATCTGAGACAGTGTCAGGCCCTTACTGAGAGGACAGGTGACCAGGTGGGAGGTTAAGCTTTACAAGTAGGTTAATGATGTGTGAAAGTGCAACACGCATACGCGCAATTTGCATCGAACTTAGACGTGCATGGGCACTTTGAAAGGGCAAATGAAACTATGTAGGCAAAAAATAATGGGGAGATACATTACCATTCTAAGAAGAATGTGAATATTTTATTTAAATAAGGTAGGGGCAGACTTCTTTTTGTTTTGTGTTTTTTTGTTTTGTTTTTTTCTTTTCAAGGAAAGGAGTCTAAGCAAGTAATCAGTGCTTACATGTATATCTGCAATGTGATCATGGAGCCTTTGGATCAAGCAGTGGTCGTGGAGAAGAAAGTTGGAAGAGGTCTCCAGAAAGCCAAGATCACAGCACTATTCGCCAGCAGTGTATGCAGATTTCATTTTTTTCCTCAAGGCTGTGTTTCTTTGCTGATCTTGAAAGCTTTAAATCCACTCTTCAGGATATTGCATAATCTCACATTTTTCTTGCAGGGTTATTCACTGAACTCCAAATGGCAGCAAACTAAAACCAAATGGCAAATCTGAGGCTAAAATCACCACGCTGGAGAAATATTCCAGGTCATCTATTTTAGCCGAACTTTTGCCATTCATATTTCTGTTTATTGCAGTTCACAATTAAGTGAATAAACAGCTTTAACAGGATTATTTACTAAAGTGAATTTCAAATTTAAGGCCAGTGTAGCTGTATGGAAAGCATAGCTGATTTAGATCATCTTTATACTTTGGCTATTTTGACCTTATATTTAAAATTCACCTTGAATTCTAACTTTACGGAATAACCCTGCAAGTTTCCAGTTGTGTTTTCCAAAATCCATACAGCTCCATGTTTTGTTTTGTCAAAGCAATCCTTACCTGTTATCAGCATTCTTGCTGCTATGACTAGCATGATATTAATTCCTGGTATTTCCTTTACAAGTACATTTTCATTTAAATACAGATGAAGTTAGATGTGATTTAATTTTTTCCAGTCTTTCTGTACCATGTCTGGTTAATAAGGCAATGATTCATGATGCCAATGAAGGTTACTTATCAGACTGAGAATATGTGAACGTTTTTGGTTGAATCTGTTAAACTCTTCAAATAAGCCATTTTCTCCTTATAATCCAATTCAGACTTTAAATTCAGCTTGAACTTAAATTCCAAGTTAAAGTTCTATCTTCTAATGAAACGTATGCTTATAATTCTATCAGTCTTCTAAATCCTGTCATTATATGTAATAATTCATATTGCTAAGAGAGTGGACTAATCCTAAACTACTATTAATCTGGTAATAATATCTAATATACAGAACTGACGGGGCAATAGGCGCTCCTGAAAAATGTAAATCGAGGTCAATTTGTACCAGGGTAAATTAAATATGATCAGTGAACTATTGTTATTTGATCATACAATTTCTTTGTTTTAGCTGTGATTGGAAATGCTTTCAAAATAGGAAGTAAATTGTCAATTTTAGTCATTTTCCATAGAGATTTATATACAGAGCTGTGAATTGCTGTAGATTGCAAACTACTTTTCTAAATGTAAGCTTGAATGATGCTTTCAATGCAGTATAAATATAAAGAAAGTATTAGAGGATGGAAACCACTATTATTAAATTTATAAAGAGCCAACTTATTCAGCGCGTTACAATATAAAAAAGGGGGATTTCAACATCATTATGAAGGAATTGGCTCTGCTAAAGATAAAGATATGCATTACAGTGTATCGAGGTTGAACTATACACCCACTACAGTGGCTTTGTTCCAGGTTCCTTATTCTTAATATTGTGGGAGTGTAATAGACACCTTCAGATACTAGATCATTTGCTGCTATTGCACTGCTATCTTTTGTTCTTTTTTTATGATTGGAGGTGTTTCCTGTTTGTTTTGTTGTTTACTTAGGATATTAGGGACATTGGGAAAGGTTCCAGGAGAGACTGTCTTTTTAATTTGAAGTATTGTTTTTGTCATTACCCCCATATTTACTTTTGGGTGAGGTAGTGGTTGCTATATATTGCCAAGTAAATGTCACACTTCATGATTGGGCTCCATAGACCAATGAGGGCATAAGATTTACAGTATAAGTAAGCTGATGGGTAGCTTTTCCTAGTCCAAACCATAACAATTTTGTTTGTGTTTTGTGGGCAGCAGCATGCGTTATAACAAATGCCTTTTTAATAATAACAATGGTCCATTGCTCACTACTATTGGCATAAATGTGAATTCATAGCAATCCATGCCAGGGTCCACATATGGAAAATGCACTTTATGTGTTCTGCACAGTCAAGCGAATTTAATGACACCCTTGACCTCTGTTTGCTGGTGACTTGTCTCTGGTGTTTCTATAAGTGGGACACTAGAGGACAGAAGGGCCAAGAAAGTGTATTGTGCATGTATTCTGAAGCTGCTTGTGGCATTACGTATGTTGAGGGGGCTGTTTGTGGTGAGATGTGCTGAGTAAATAAGTTGGTTTCAGTTGTATTGTGTTAATGGTGTTGCATGTGTGGCTAGGGGCTAGAGGGAGAAGTGTGTATGCTTGTGTATAGGTGTTGTAGTATGGTTAGGACCTTAGTGTTTGTGTGTGTGTATTTTCCCATTTTGCCTGATGGCCAGCCTGGGCCTGATTGTTATTAACACAGTGCCTTTTGCATTCTAAACATACTTTTATATCTGGTGTACCCTGACTTTTATGTCCACATAGAAGACACGCATCTCTGGACATAACCCCCTCTGGTTTTAAGAAAAACAGAAACCAATCTCTGTAAATAATGCGGTGGTCACATTCAGGCCTGTTGACTAGCTTTGTACATATCTGTGTCCTTTCTATACTGGTGTCCTTTTCCATTTGCAGTCTGCCTTTGTTACACAAAGTTCATATGTCCTGGTTATACTGTACTTCATTCTTTGTCTGTGTTTGGCCCAGCATAGTTGGTATCTGTATCTATATCCCTTTCTTTCTACTCCTGTCATTACATTCTCTTGTCTTTCTATCACTCACTGTTCTTTTTCTTCTAGAGAGGTGGACGGGGGGAGCCGTCAGGGAAGCTAACGGATGTTTTACAACTCCCGGATAAATCCAAAATCACTCAGTGTCTTCAGAAAGCCAGAATCACTGGAATTTTCCTACAAGCTGTGAGTTTTCTTCTACTTGAAAGTTTCATTATTTAAATCCATGCTACCCATGGACTACACTGAGTTGAATATTTCTAAATCTAAATATGCAAGTCTTCTTGATGACTATGGTGTCCTTCAGCACTCCAATGAGGATTGTCATGTTCGTGAGTTATAAAAGCTCTGCGATAGACTTGTCTAACCCATAGATAGAAAGATAGATGCCAAAGACATATCAAAACCCCTTACATAGATATGTCTCATAGATACAGATAGATGGATCTCAGATAGATAGATAGACCCACAGTCTGCAACTCTTTTTTGAGCGCCCAACAATTTTCTGTGTACTGAATAAGACCCTTTCATTCAGCCTGCTAGTTTATAAGTTCAAAGGTATTTCCTTAGAATTCACTAATTACATTTCTTCATAACTATATAAATTTAGGGAGAGCGTTCCGATATAAACTCAAGACGGGTGGAAGACAGCCAGATTGACTCAGGCTCTCAGTATGATTTGGATTCTTTAGTGCCTACACATGATGACCAAGGACGTCCGATCCCAGAGTGGAAGAGGCAAGTCATGGTGCGGAGGTTGCAGTCACATCTGGAAGAACAAGCCAAACAGGTATTTTAAAAATAGCGTTGGTTGGGAGGCTGTAACATTCAAACCTTGTTTTTGATTTTTCATAGATAGATGTGAAAATAATCCACAGAAACCGAAAACATTTATTGGTCTCTTATAAAGCTTTAGAGGAGGGAATACAGTCCAAAACATATGCCTCTATGGATAGATGGACTGCAGAGTGTAAGACAAACCCTATCTAACAGGGACTGGGTACAATCTTTGTATGCTCTCAAGTAGAAACCGCAATGCTATCACTATTTAGAAGCACATTGCAAATTGGTGTACCAATGGTACCGAATACCTAGACGGTTATACAAAATATACCCATCAGCCTTTTCCAGTTGTTGGAGATGCCGCACACAAGTGGGAACAATGTCACACATTTGGTGGAAATGCCCAAGAATTATCCCCTTTTGAGAAGGTAAATGACCTGCTTTAGGCTCTATCTGTCCACCGATAGTCCTTCTAATTATCTCCTGCTCCTGCTGCCAAAAACATATGAAGTCCCTCGACTTTGATGCACAGCACATTTTTGTTAGACAAATCACGGCACACAAATATATTACAAATACAGCTAATTGACAATACCTTGGCCAACTAGGTTTCATGATATTTTTATAGTATCTCAAATTTGTCAAACTATACACATTAAACCCACTCAGTGATGTAAAAAGAATGCCTTCTCCAGGAATTCGCATAGAAGAGCATAATGATAACTAAGTATTAGACATTAAAGTGGCAACAATAACCAACTGATTATTCCAATTTTCAAGGAACTGTTCAGAAATTATATATAATGTTTATGATATGCTGATTGTACTCTAAATAATCTGCTTTATGTTCTAGGATGAATGGAAATATTCTCATGCTCGTAGTGCCATACTGGGCCCATATGGTGAGCTTGTGACCGAGGAGGAGCTACGCATGTTTGATGGACAGATGGAAGGATTGCGCCGTCGCAGAGAATGTCAGCAATATGAACAAGAGCTTAGTCGCCAGGTGGAGCAACTGCGATCCCTACTTCCAACACCTCTGATCAATGTGAGCCTCAACACCCAGCTTCTACAGCAGAGAGAGGATCAAGATTGGTGTACTTGTATGTCAAATGTGGTCAACAGTATGAACCAGCTTCTTTCTTCTAATAGTTCAACTTCAGGTTTGTCACAGGACACAGTGAAAGCACGTCGGAATCGGTCACCTTCACCTTCTCCAATGAGAGAGTTGCTGCAATGTGGTGTCTCAGTGCGAAGATTAAAAGTTCAGTTTGAAAAACAACAGCAACCACGTAACCAGTTACATGGAAAACCTTGCAAAGTAAAAACAGACATAGAGGATACAAGTGATTCAGGAGTAAGTTCAGAAGAACCTCCATCTCTCAGGGACTCTCCTGTACCACCTCGGACATTAAGAAAAGAACGCATTGTTCTTTTGTTTCTAAGCCACTGGAAGAGATCTGTATATTCTCTGCATAGAATAAGAGATTCATGTAACAATAGGACATGCAAGGATTCACTAAGTTCGAATGATGACCATAATAAGAAAAAAAGTGTTGAAGACAACAAAAATAGAGAGAGAAACAATCTTGGAGCTGAAACAATGAATGGAAATTCTCATGAGAGAAAACAAACAGTGGAAACCTTTCAAGAGGTTTCAAATGTTAATGGGAATACTGTTTTATTCAATAATACAGAAAACACGAATGAGATTGCAAGAAATGGGCAAGATTCATTGGAGGGTGAGGTCTCCCCTCGTATTGGTGGAATTTTAAATCAGTTGATGAGACAAAGAACTACTGTCCAGCGCTTGATTGGAAGTTGGAGATCGGTATCACAAAATGCCCCACAATCTTCTGGAAACCAATCTATTATTCAATCTCCAGAACATTTTCTGTCAACAACTCCTAGAAATACATCTTTGAATCATGACAGTCTTACACTCGATCTTTTCATGTTAGGATACTTCAGACTCCTCGAACAAGACCTTCCAGAGGAGGAAAGACGTATGAGGCATCTACTCTGTTTTGAGGTTTTTGACCAGCTTGGACGCCATGGTTGGCCAACGGCTAGAGACTTCCACTGCACCGTCTTACAGGAGATAGCTACTGGGCGTAGGACATGGTCTGATGGATTTGATGACATCAAATCCCGCTTTTTTGGACCTGGTACAGAAAAGAATGAAGATAGAATCAATAACCAACAAGTATCAGATTCCCATGATGTATGTCAGTGTATCGAGAGGAGCTTTACATTTTGGAAAGAAAAAGAGGCTGAAATATTTGAAACAGAGCCATAACCAATTAACTGTGAAATATTGCAATGTACAAAGTATATAAATTCCTGCCACCTGAAAACTATATCACAAGATGGGCCTCTTGCCTTTTTATAGATTAAATCTGAAGAATACTAACTTTTGCTGCAGACCTTGGGAAAATTATTGATCATGCAGTACTATAAAAATGAAAACTTTAAATCTGAACTCACAAACTTAGTAAAAAGACACAATGTCCTCCTACTTCTGTTGCTCTACTTATGGCATAGCAATATCAGTAGTAAATTAAGCACAGCATGGGTTTAGAAAATTCAAATTTTGATGACCTATTTTATAGTTCAAAGTTTACAGCTTTCTATGTGTGTGGCTTCCCATTAACATGCTATGGCTAAAGGCGGTGAGGTACACTCATAAAACCTTTAACGCATTCAAAGTGCAGACAAACCTGAATAGAAAAGAAAATTGGTTATTTAAAACAAACAAAACAACCAACCAACCACGAATGTCATTGTTTTATCAGTTCAAAGGGAAATTTCAATGTCAAAAAGATATTTGTCTTAAAGTAGCCGATTGTACGTGGGAGAAAAAGTGGTTTTGTTGTTGGTTGCCCTGAATTCTATATGTCTTAATAATGATATGTCCTGTTTCTGCCGTGTTACCATTCTGATTATTGGTGTGTTCGGCTTTAAGAAGAACAGGAGGGGCTGTATATGACTGAGAGGGGTTTGGAATGTGAGTGGCAAGCTACCAGTAAGTGGAAGGGCTATTAATAATCTCAGTAAGCTCTCAGCTCTGTCACATATTAGAAATATCCCTTGCAAGTAACAACGAAAACATAAAGCAAAAAGCACAACAGAACTCTGGGACCGACAGCAGAGTTGGACATACTGAACTCATAACTGGTAAGAGATTGGCACAATGTAAACTGTATACACATTGGATTATGATGACAGTAGTCAATACTGTGAGCGACACAGAATCATTTTGCATTTGATGTGTGAGGGTGTTCTTGCAGGCAGCCTTTGTAATGCGACATGTTGTATAGTGCCTTGTGACCTGTTTATTGCTGCGCATGTGACTTAGGAGTAAATGTGATCTATGGAATTATGGAAATACGTATTGCATGATGTGCAGAACTTTTTTGTGTTGAATAAACAGTTTTTCGCAGTTGAGTTAATATTGTTCATATGAAGATGATGATGATTGATCATCCTATCAGGGCCTAAATGTCATGGTATGATGGTAAATAGTGCAAAATGCAGTAGAAACAATACAAATTATTATTTATAAATCATGGAAACCTCACGTGAGAATCCCTGGTTTGGTATTTCATAAAACTAAGTTATTGATTGAATGAAATGTCTTCAACAGTAAACAAACAATGTGTGAGAAGATTGCTGCAATATAGCAAACGATAATCATTAAACCGTCTAATTATATAACAGGCTTTATTTATTCATTGCCAAAAATAAACATAAAACTGACAGTTGTATCTATATGCTAATTAGTGATCCTAAAAATCAAGATGATATATTGTGTCTCTATATATTCCCTATTAGTATAATAAACGTCCCTTTAGAATCATTTCATAATTACAATGTCCAAATAATCTGGAACAATCGTTGAAAAAGGAGAGAGGAGTTTAATTGAAAAAAAAAACAAAACAGTATTTATAATAGGGAGAGATCACCTAAATTGTCAATTGGCTGTAATGGTAGTGCAGGGGGTTATTGGAGTAGAAAAGTAGGGTAATAATAAGATAAGTATACACAGCGAGATGCTATTGGAAGATATTGGAAGATCTGGAGAATATTGTCCTTATTTAATGAACTTCAAATACATAGAGTCCTTTGTAGAACTTGTATGTAAAGAGATTGGCCTAATTTCGAACTCTGGCCTTACGATAAGACTAAATTCAAATCCATCACAAAGGGAACTCAAAGCGTTAAAATAAATACAACAAAAGGAAGGATTAGTCATTAAACCCTCTGATAAGGGGGGTATATAGTAATTCTGAACACAAAACAATACTTGGAAATGACAAAAAAAAAAACAGATGACACTACATACAGAGTCTTAAAAACCGACCCAACAACGTGCTTCTTGGACAGGCTGAAATTATACCACAGAAAGGCCTATTTTCAATGCTTTCCCATGGGGAACTCTAATGCGCATGCGTGGCATTGCCGTGCATCCGCATTAGGTCTTCCCGGCCGGCCGGCGGGATCAGTCTCGCCCTCCGGCCGACGTAATGCAGAGGAGGAGTGGCGGCGACCCGAAACCACCGCCGAGGGAGTCTCAGGTAAGTGACTGAAGGGGTTTTAACCCCTTCAGCAACCGGGGATTGGGAGGTGGGAGGGAGAGGGGAACTGCAGTGCCAGGAAAACGGATTGTTTTCCTGGCACTGGAGAGTCCCTTTAAATGAAAATGAACTCAATTTGAGATTTACAGCAGAGGTGGAAAATCCCTCCTTAAACTTTTTGGATGTGACACTAACTCCCGAGACTGAAGGTACCATACAAACAGACCTTTATAGAAAAAGTACAGCCACTAATAGTCTGTTGAACTGGAGAAGCCATCACCCAGTTCAAGAAAAAAAGGGGAATTCCTGTTGGTCAATATCTACACCTCAAGAAATTGCTCTCGCAAAAGAACTACGCTCTATGTTCAGGCTTTCCCAACAAATGCTTAAAAAGAGCGTTTCATAGGGCACTTTTAACTGAAAGAGAAAGTCTCCTAAGTGAGGAAGTAAACCCTCTCTTGAAACAGAAGACAAGCGACTTTAAACAGTTAAGGCGCATAGCCACCTATGATGCAGGTTGGGATAGGGTAAAGATGATTATGGATAGTTTTTGGCCCATCCTAAGACAGGATGGTTATCTCAGGGATGTAATTTCTCCAAATGCATCCATCACAGCTAGAAAGGGAAAGAATTTCAAAGACTTATTGGTACACAGTCATTTCCAAAGGGAGACGGCACCAAAGCACTGGCTGTCAAGTAAATTAAAGTATGAAAAGCGTTTAACTGATTAAAAGTTAAAGGCAATTTAAACAAGTTAAACTGGAAAAAAAAATAGTAGTTTAGTTTAGCAGATCATCCCCTATTTTTTGCATATATTTCGTGGAAGACAGGAGGAAGTCATTGGGGATACCATTGAAAGCTTCACCTTGTACAGGGAAGTTTTTGTCTGCTTATACCTAATTTGGCACTAATTGCACTTTTTGGTTTGTGTACACACATTGGTATTTTTCTTCTACTTAAATTATATCTACTTAAAGGAACACTCTATTCACCTAAACAACTTGAGCTTTATGAAGCTGTTTTAGTGTATAGATCATGCTGCTCAGGTCTCACTGCTCAATTCACTGTCATTTAGGAGTTAAATCACTTTGTTTCTGTTTATGCAGCCCTAGCAACACCTCCCCTGGCTATGATTGACAGAGCTTGCATGAAAAAAAAAACTGATTACACTTTCAATTAGATGTAATTTACCTTAAATAATTGTATCTCTTTCTCTGTAAATTGAACTTTAATCACATACAGGAGGCTCTTGCAGGGTCAAGCAAGCTATTAATATAGCAGGGGATAAGAAAATCTTAATTAATCAGAACTTGCAATAAAGGAAGGATAAACATTAGATGACTCTTTAAGGAAGTTTATAAAAAGTGATTTAATTCCTATGTGGCAGAGAATTGAGCAGTGACACTGCAGGGACATGATCTATACACCAAAACTGCTTCATTAAGCTAAAGTTGTTTTGGTGACTATAGTGTCCCTTTAAACATCTGTCAATCAAATCACTGCACGGAGGTCTGTTAAAATGTTTAAGTGGCAGAAGTGAGTTGGTTTGGTTCTCCTTCACAGTCCTATTTCCCCAGCAAGAACATCATCTAGACTCTAAACTCGTCTGAGCAGGTTCCTCGTCTGTCTATTGTTCCTGTAACATTCTGTTATTGTCTCATTTATTGTTAAATTTCCTCCTTTATAATATTGTGAAGCGCTGCAAAATAAGTTGGCGCTGTAACAATAACAATAATAACAGTCACACTTTTTAGGGGAAATAGAAAAAGAGCAAATGCTGTCACTCCATTCTGATGTGCTGGCATGAATGGAAGCCAGTGTGTCATGGTCATTAGGGAACTTAGTGCTTTTTGGGGAATCGTTCCAAGCAGAGTCAGTCACTTAATAGAGAGATGACCTGACCTGAAAGACGTGATGTTATCATGCTGGGATAACACACAATGTATATGGCCACAGGATGGCACAACCCCACTGCCCTGACTTTATATCTGGCACTGTCGGTGGGTTTAATATGTGTATGTTATATATATATATATACACATATATATATATATATATATATATATATATATATTCCCAGCTTTATTACAAGTGGGAACTTATTGTTCAGTCACAAGTGCAGTGGGGGGTATACACATCTCTACTAGTTATAAACCTTTATTAGTTCCTACCAATAAACTTCATACATTTATGCAAACACGTATTCCCACAATACATAGAGGAAAACGGTGGGCAAAACCATAACCAAAACCATAACAAGGAGCATAATATTTCTTCTCTTTCAACCAAAGCTTCTCCGTTCTGAGTTGGACAGCATCCAGCGAAGCATTATGACTGCATCACATTATTACAATAGATAGACGCACACCATTTACCTATCCTAAGGAAGATTTACAATAATAGTATTAAAAAACTGGCCTTCGTACAATGGGGCTGAAAGGCAGAATATCCACATCTCCCCCACATTGTCACACGCTGGATTGGAAACAAATGTATCCCCATAATCTATAGTGATGGTCCTTTACAATGATCTAGGTCAGGCATAGGCAACCTTCAGCACTCCAGATATTTTGGACTACACCTCCCACGATGCGTTGCCAGCATTACAGGTGTAAGAGCATTATGGGGGATGTAGTCCTAAACGTCTGGAGTGCCGAAAGTTACCTATCCCTGATCTAGGTAGAGGTATATCAGTGCAGTAAACGTGGCCCTTATCGGACAT